AGTAATGGTAGTGGTAGCCTCTGTGGGCGCGCTCGGGGCCTATGTGAGCAGCGTGGTGGTGCCCCTGTGGGTGCATTCGGGCCTCTGTGGACTGCGCCAAATGGCGCTCTGGAGGGGCCTCCGTGGAGGAGCGGAAGGGCACGAGTCCGTTTAGATAGCACGATGTTCCGAGGCTCTCATCGCTCTGGCAGGGCCTCCCTGGAGGGGTGGGAGAGACGCGCGACCTGGTAAATATGAAGGGGCCCTGGGACACACAAATAACTACACACAAATAACAGGATTTCCCATACATTCTGTGTTTTTGGCTTCCCCCCCACTTCCCATATTCTCCCCTATGTTCTGGGGAATCGACGATTCATAGTGTCTGTGTGTTTTCCCTTTCTGAAAATAATATGGCGTTCCAATACCCTCTTCGCTGTGGTGGGGCCTCCCTGCAAGGGTGGGAGAGGCACGAAACCATGCAAAGAGTATGGTGTTCCGATCCAATCCTCGCTGTGGCAGGGCCTCCCTGGAATGGTTGGAGGGGCACGAAGCCGTGTGAATAGTAGTGTGTTCCGATACCTTCCTCGCTCTGGCGGGGCCTCCTCGGATTGGCAGGACTGGCTCGGAACCGGGTAATTATCATACCTACCGGCGTGATCTCGCACTGCATTGTTTTGACCGACCGACCGTGCCTGGGATGTGCGCTGGATTGGGGTGCGCTGGATTGGGATGTGTGCTGAGGTGTGTGCTGGGACGTGTGCTGCATTCGTGTGTTGGGATGTGTGCAGGGCTGTGTGCCAGGATGCGTGCTGGGATGTGTGCTGCCTCCGTGGATGTGTGCTGGACTGTGCAGGGCTGGGGGCTGCCTCCGACCGTGCTGCCCCCCCGTCCACCCCCCTCCTCCCTTCCGACTGACCAACCGTGCGCCCCCCCGCCCTCTCCGCCCCGTGGCCCCCGTCTGCTTCACTAATCCGGCCGACCGGCCGTGCCCCCCCCGTCTGCCCGGCCGTGCCCTCCCGTCCCCCCTGCTCCCCTTCCCCCCGTGGCATCCCGTCTGCAAATTCCGACCGACCGACAATGCCCCTCCCCCCCTGCCCGTGGCCCCCCGCCTGCTTATTCCGACCGACCGACCGTGGCTCGAAACTGTAGCACGCCAGCGTGTCGCGGCACTCGCGCGCTTCCCCGCGTCTGCCGGGGACTGGCTCCCTCGCCATTTTTGTTTCCGCCCGAACTTGGTATGATCCTTGGCACGCCTGCCTCTTGTTAATCTTGTGTTCCGATGCTCTCCTCGCTCTGGCGGGGCCTCCCTGGAGGGGTGGAAGGGGTTCGAGACCGTGTAAATGGTACGGCGTTCCTCTGGCGGGGCCTCCATGGAAGGGCAGGAAGGTCACGACATCGTGTAAATTACTCGAACGTTCCGATATCCACCTTCTGGGGGGCCTCACTGGATGGGTGGGAGGGGCAGGAAAACGTGCCAATAGTATCGCTTTCCGATACCAACCTCGCTCTGGCGGGGCCTCCCTGGAGGGGTGGGAGGGGCACGCAACCTGGTAAATGGTATAATGTTTCGATGCCCTCTTCGCTCTGGCGGGGCCTCCCTGGAGAGGTGGGATGGGCACAAAATCGTATAAACAGTATTGTGTCCCGATACCTTCCTCGCTCTGGCGGGGCTTTCCTGGAGGGGTTGGAAGGGCACGAAGGCGTGTAAGTAGCATGGTGTTCCGATACCATCCTCGCTATGGCGGAGCCTTCTTGGAGGGACAGGATGGGCACGAAACTATGTAAATCATATTGCGGTCCGATACCATCCTCGCTCTGGCGGGGTTTCCCTGGATGGGTGGGAAGGGCACGAACATGTCCAAATCATATGGTGTTCTGATGCCTCCCTCGCTCTGGCAGGGCCCCCCTGGAGGGGCAGGAGGGGCACGACACAATGGAACTCGTATGGTCTGTGAGGGGCACGGCGGCATGTAAATCGTACAGTCGGGGCGTTGACCTAAGGAACCCTAAATAAGGAACGAGGCCCCTTTTCTGCATAAGTTACACTTCGATTTCCGATTGAAAACATAAGGAAAACCTGAGGCAAGCTGTGAAACACTTATTAAGGAACGCGGAGCCCCTCCCCAACCAAAGGGGTTCCTTCTTCAGGGCCCCGACGGTATGGTGTTCCCATACCCTCCCTCGCTCTGGCGGGGCCCCAGTGGAGGAGCGCTCCCTCCGCCTCCGCGGCCGCCCGCCGCTCCTCCGCCCGCAACCCGTGCGCTGGTGCCCCCGGGGCGCGGCCCGCCGCTCCCGCGCAGGGCGCCCCCTGCGCTCGCCGGCGCTGCCGATGGAGACGCCACCAGAAGTTGGAGATGGGGGGGGGGGTCCTCCTCCCCCTCTGCTTCTTCCTCCTCCTCCCACGCCTCCTCCTCCTCCTCCTCCTCCTCCTCCTCCTACTCCTCCTCCTCCTCCCACGCTTCCTCTCCTCCTCCTCCTTCCCTCCTCCTCCTCCTCCTCCTGCTCCTCCTTCCCTCCTCCTCCTCCTCCTCCTCCTCTCCTCCTCCTCCTCCTCCTCCTCCTCCTCCTTCGCTCCTCTCCTCCTCCTCCTCCTCCTCAGCGGGCGAGCGAGGGGTGGAGTGAGAAGCTCGAGGGCGCGCAGCATGGATTGGCGATCGCAAGCATGGATTGGCGCCCCATGGATTTGGCGTGCGGTCGCCAAATCCATGGATCGGGGGAGGTGCCCTCCCCAAAATACGGCCGGTGCCGCCTCACTCGGCGGAGAAAATCCACGACTTCCCATGGAAATAGGACCCGTCGCTAATCCACGCCCCCTTGATCCATGTTTGCGATCGCCTGAAAGAAGGAGAAGGCTTTCTCAGAAGGTGGCGGGACTTCTCAGAAGCACTCGCGCCTCCTGAGAAGTGTTCTGCGTCTTCGGGGAGGGCTTAGAAAATCCAACAGAAGGCCGGGGGACTTCCCAGCCGTCTGAGAAGGCCCGCCCCTTCTCATTTCCCCCCGGGCGCGCCGCCGAAAGCGCCCTTGGCCCAAGGTGCCCCTAGGATTCTCGGGGTGGCCCAGACGGCCTCCAGGACACCCCTCACGAGGCCCAGAGGGCCCCAGCGACCCCAGAATGGAGGGGAAAGCTGGGGGCACCTTGGGCCAGGGGCACCCTGAGCAAGACCCGAATGTGCACGCATGACCGGAGCGCATCGCTGATACTGTACGATTTTTTTCAATGCGCGCGTCGACCCTCTGGGGCCGACGCGCACACAGCAGAAGAATGCCTGGGGGCTGCGCGAAAAACGGCATGATCATAGACTCTCAGAGATGAAGGGGCCCTGGGACACACAAATGAATACACACAAATAAGAGGATTCCCAATATTTTCCTATATTTTCTGGGTTTTTGTCCTCCCCCTAAATCCCATATTTTCCCATATTTTCTGGGGAATCGACGATTAATTGTGTCTGTGTGTTTTTTCTCTCCTGAAGAGATCCGCACGGATTCCTCGGGTCGGCGCCTGACCCCCCCCCCCTCGACTGGCGAGCGAGGCGCACCAGGGGAGGCGCGAGAGGCGCCGCCAAGGGGGACCGTTGGAAACGGCCCAGAGAAACCGTGCGGAAATCTCAGGGTGATTTGCCCAGCCCACGGGTTGAGGTTCCCGACCTGCCTCGCGCACCCTGCATACCGTGGCAGCCAGGCCTGAACTGTGCCGGTGCTCCCCCGGACGCCCGCCTCGTGCCTTCGACGAGCGACGACTGCATGCCGCGGCCGGGAGGCCCAAAGTGCTTCGGCGCTCCCTGGGGGTATCCCGCCTCGTCCTCGTGTCCTTGGGGTTCGTGCTTGCGCCTCGTTTGTCCTTCGGGTCCTGCTGTCCACGGCCTCGCCCCGCAGGATGGCCTCGGTCCTGGGCTCCAGCTCGATGCTGCCCAGGATGGCGGCGGCCTCCGACTGCGGCACGTAGCACTGCAGGACCTTGCCCGAGAGCAGCGCGGCGACGGCGACCTGTGGGGCTGCGGCGCCCTCCTCGCCCTCCTGCGGCAGGAGCGTCAGCGCCAGCCCGCCCGAGACCACCCCCGCGCCGCTGCTCGAGGTGGCCTCGCCAGCGGCAGGGCTCTGCGTCGGGGCGCCGCCCCCGCGCAGCACGGAGTCCAGCCCGCGCACTTCCCCGGCTTCCGCGGCGGCGAGCAGCTCCGACACCTGTGCAGGGCGGAGATATGTCTGTGCCCACCGCCCTGGGAGCCGACGCCCTGGGACCCCAGGGGGCGGTGGATGCTATGGATGGGCGGGGGGATGCAGACCCCATATTTTCTACACATACAGTGCACAAGTATGCGTTAGCCAGCATGGAGCCCAAGCGCTGTGCTCCTAACCATCTATGTGGTGATCTCAACGTGGAACAATGTACTGCAACAGTCCGCGTGGGGCAATATACGTGGTGAGATTTGTGCGATGCAGTCTAGGTTATGCGATATACGATGCGCAATTAATTAATGTAGTGCAATCTACGTCTTACAGTATGTGCGATGCGAACTATGTGGGGCAAGATGTGGTGCAATCTGTGGCGCAATCCATGTGGTGCAACTCGCCTTGCCGAACTTGAAATTGACAATTCCACTGCATGCGCAAAAACCCCACCCACCCACCCGCAACTTGGTTTGCAAAACCCGTGCGGCGGCGATTGCGATGATTGCTTGGCGTTGGCTGGGGCATCTCTGCGGCCGCGCTAGCCCACGCATGCTCGCGCGCGAAGCGGCCAGCTAGTTTGGCGCGACCAACGCGGCCGCGGTGGCGCTGACCGCCGGGCACTTCCCAAGTCGGCGCCTGGGGCGGGCGCGGTATGATGGCAACGCCGACGATGGTAGACACGATCGACGACAGCAAGGCCAGTTATGGCGCCGATGCTGATCACGCCGACGACGATGGCGGCGTCCTGGCGTCGGTGATGAAGGTTCCCCAGAGAGTTCGACATGCTTGCGGGGCCGACGCATGAGAGTGGACCGCATGGTGCTATTTGAAACGACTCGTGCCCCCCCCCTGCACGCGTGCAAGGTGGTCCGAATGAGTTCGACATGCGGCGCGAGAGGCCCATTTGACCGAATTTCATGAAAATGATGGAACCACGCTTTCTTGAGAATTCGCAGGAGCGCGAAAACAGGCATGTTTGAAAACTGATGTCGCAAAAAAACATGTGCTTTATATGTGTTCCGGGGCACTCGATTCGGAAATCCATAATAGACCTATGGTGTTTGAAATATTTCTGCATGCGCGCGCGACGACTCGCTCGTGCGATTCTTGCGACAGCACGCGCGCAACGGCGTTCGAGCGATGTCGATATTCGCGCGCGAGAGACACGTCTGGTATAATGTTATAGAAATAACTGAAGACCCCAAGGGTTGTCCTAAGAATTCGCAAGAGCCCGAGCTCAATCTTTTTTTCCAAATCACTCGATTTTGAAATCCGACATCCAAGGTTTTTGAAAGATGTCGGCATGCGCGCGTGACAACGCGCGGGTGTGCACTTTGTCTTATTTGTTGTAAGAGATGGAAGAAAACTGTTGATTTTGATAAATGAATGCGCGCGCATAGCAGCTGTTGGAGAGGATGGGGTGGGATTCGTGCCTGCCTGGGATGGTATGTATATATATATATACATATAAACATAATATATATATATATATATATATATATATACATATATATATAAAGATCTATGGGATCAACTGTGGGGTATAATCGTGTGAAATTGCAATACGAGAAAGGGTCCCGTTAATTACAGGGCGAGGGGGTAATAGATCCTAACGCTCTTCCAGAAAAGGCAAATATGTGAACCAATACATATGGCGCGATATACGCTGTGCAATCTCATGTACAATGTATAATGTGCAACTTGTGTTGCGCGATCTACGTGGTGCAATCGATGTGGTACAACCGATGTGAACAAATACGCGTGGATACATTTATCAGATTGAGGGGCTGAACGGTCATTCACTGTCCATGGGTGCGTTGCTGCCGTGGAATTCCGCGATGCGGATTCTTGTTGTTGTTGTTGAACATTATTAATTCTAAAGAATAATTATTGTTGGGGCCCCTGGTGCGCGCCCCCCCCGCCGCGCCTAGGCCGCAGCCACATTTTCATCATTTTCGTGAGGAATTCTCAGGCAAAACGGGGTATACCAGATCCGGTTGTGTTGTTACGATCGGTTTTCCCTTGCAAAAAATAAGGCAAAGTGGACATTTCTTGTTCTAACATGACCAAGCTTCAAGAATCCCTTGCAAAAAATATGGTAAAGTGGACATTCGCGCGCGCAAGACGAAATCCTTCCAAAACCTCAGTTTTCGTAGCGATTTTAACATAAAAACATCAAAAAAACCACTGTTTTTTTCAAAAAAAAATGTCAAAATTTCATCCCGCGCGCTCTTGCGGATTTGTAGGAAACCCAACACTTTTTAATCATTTCTGTCAAGCGGGCTTTTGCGAGCAACTTTTTCACGTGCTTCGAACTTCTCCAACAACGGTTGCGCACCTGCCAGGGCCATCATCCCTGTCAAATAATACCATGCGGGACACATTCGTTTTTTCTTCGCGCGCGCACGCCGAAATCTTCAAAAACCATTGGGCTCCTTAGGAATTTTAGCACCGGGCAACATAAAATCATACGAATCGCACCGTAGGTCCTCGAAAAAACATCTGTACGAATTTTCAAAATTTCTACCCGCGCGCGCTGTCCGAATCCTAAAAAACCAATGGTTTTTCAACATTTATGTTACATGAGCTCGCGCGAGCTACTTTCGCAAGCTCTTTCAACGGCGTTCGCGCGCCTGCCAGGGGCCACAATCCCTTGCAAAACATGCGCCAGTGTAGTAGCCATGCGCCAGTGTAGTAGCCACGGTCGTCCGCAGGCCACGAAGTGAAGTGTCCGAACGTCATAGGGTGGGAAGCTGGGTGTGGGTGGTGGCGAAGAGTCGTTTGGAAATGTGGTAGAGCTTGAACCGGCCCCCCCACAAAGTGGGGGTATTGGCGGGCGTCGTATGAAAACCCTGGCACTGGTGAGAACGGAGTGTCCCCACGTGCTAGTACTTGTTGTTGTTGTGGTTGTTGTTGTTGCTGTTGTTGTTGTTGTTTCAAGGGGCCCAAGGACACACACACACACACAAATACACACAAATAACAGGACCCCCAATATTTTCAAATATTTTATGGGTTTTTGTCTCCCCCCCATTTCCCATAGTTTCCCATATTCTCTGGGGAATCGACGATTAATTGTGTCTGTCTGTTGTTGTCCCTCCTGATTGTTGTCGTCGTCGCACCCGCGACCCGCCCGGCGACCCACCCGCGACCCACCACGCGACCCACCCGCGACCCAACCGCGACCCACCCCGCGACCCGCCCGCGACCCACCCGCGACCAACCCGCGACCCATCCCGCGACCCACCCCGAGACCCCCCCCAGAGACCCACCCGCGACCCACCGGCGACCCACCCACGACCCACCCACGACCCACCCCGCGACCCACCCGCGACCCACCCGCGAACCACTCGCGACCCACCGCGACCCACCGGCGACCCACCCACTGGACTACACGATCACGACCCACCCCCCTGACCCATCCAAAATGTTCGGCGCCTGCCGCGGGTTTTCTTTTGGCATTCGTTCCAAAAACAAATACCATAAGAAAATCACAAACTAAAATCAAAACAAAGATTAAAAAGTATCGGTCAAAAAGGGCAAAACAGAAGATAAAAAAACCACAAACAGGGTAGGAGAACCTTCACCCACCCGCGACCCAAACCGCGCCCGCGACCCACTCGCGACCCACCGCGACCCACCGGCGACCCACCCACGACCCACCCCGTGACCCACCCAAAATTTTCGGCGCCTGCGGCGGGCTTCTTTTGCATTCGTTCCAGGTGGAGAACCTGCGACCCACCCGCGACCCAAACCGCGTTCAGTGCACAAATCCAAATTTTCGGCGCCTGCGGCGGGCTGTTTTTGAATTCCTTCCAGGTGGAGGTGGAGAGCCCGCGACCCACCCGCGACCCAAACTATGTTCACTGAACAAGTCAAAACTTCGGCGCCTGCGGCGAGTTCCTTTTGCATTCGCTCCAGGTGGAGAACCTGCGACCTCCACCCGCGACGCCAAACCGCAACCGCACCTGCGACCCCACCACCCGCGACCCACCCCGCGAGCCCACCCGCGACCTCCCCCGCGACCCACCCCCGCGAGCCCACCCAAAATTTTCGGCGCCTGCGGCGGGCTTCTTTTGCATTCGTTCCAGGTGGAGAACCTGCGACCCACCCGCGACCCAAACCGCGTTCAGTGCACAAATCCAAATTTTCGGCGCCTGCGGCGGGCTGTTTTTGAATTCCTTCCAGGCGGAGGTGGAGAGCCCGCGACCCACCCGCGACCCAAACTACGTTCACTGAACAAGTCAAAACTTCGGCGCCTGCAGCGAGTTCCTTTTGCAGTCGCTCCAGGTGGAGAACCTGCGACCCAAACAGCTTTCAGTGCACGCCTGCAGCGAGTTCCTTTTGCAGTCGCTCCAGGTGGAGAACCTGCGACCCAAACAGCTTTCAGTGCACAAATGAAAAGTTTCGGTGCCTGCGGCGGGCTGTTTTTGCATTCGTTCCGGGTGGCCCACCAGCGACCCCCCCGCGCTGAACTCATGCAAATCGGCGCCTGCGGCGGGCTTGCTCGCATTGGTTTGGGAAAGCGCCCTCGTGCCATTCCCCCGATCCGGCCCACGTTGACTCTACAACAGCACATTGGCGCCTGCGGCGGGGGCTGTGTCTGAACACATTCATTAACAATCCAGTTGCCTGCTGCCGCGGAGGAGGGGAGGAGGAGCAGGGCGAGGAGCAGGAGGAGGAAACCGACGACAACGACGATGAGTACGAGGACGAAGAGGAGGCCGACGACGAGGGCGAGGAGGAAAAGGAGGGGGGGACGGAGGGGGACGACGAGAAAGGAGGGAGGAGGAGGGGGAGGAGGAGGAGGAGGGGGAGGAGGAGGAGGAGGAGGAAGAGGAGGAGGAGGACGACGACGGAAAGGAGGAGGGGGGAGGATCGGGATGGGGGAGGAAGAGGAGGAGGAGGTGGTGGAGGAGGAGACGGAGGAGGAGGAGGAAAAGAAGGAAGAGGAGGAGGAGGATGTGGAGGAGGCGGACGACGACGACGACGACGACGATGAGGACGATGACGCGGACGAGGAAGAGGCGGAGGAGGAGCAGGAGCAGGAGGAGGAGGAGGGCGCCATGGACAAGGAAGGTGAGGGCCACGAGGTCCGCCGGCTCGACGCCCGCGTCCGCACCCTCACTCATATCCGCAATTGCGGGGTGCTATGATATTTATACAGATAGATGTGAAGCAAAGTAGGTGGTGCAATCGCTGTGGTGCAATCGGTGATGTGCAAATCCCACCTGCCCTTTTGGGCGTGAGCGGTTTACCGAATTTCCTCGTCCATCTTCCCATTACCCCTTCGGGGAGGAGTTTGCCCCGCCCCCATACCCCTCTCTCTGGGTTTGCAGGGAGCGCTCCGCGAGGGGTTGGAGCGTCCAAGATGGCCTCGGCGAGGAAGCCAGCATCGTTGAGTTTACTCAGGTTTGGCCACAACATGTTGGCACTAATGCACTACGGCTCCTCCGTTGATACATCTCTTCCAAGATGGCCCCAAGATGGCCTCCGAGGCCCCCAAGGGTGCCTAAAGACGGCCCCAAGAGGTGCCCAGGAGGCCCCAAGAGGACCCACCCAAGACGCTCCAAGACGCCCCCTAGAGGCGCCCAAGACGGCCCAAGAGGCCCTGGCGATAAGGCTCAAATAACTGACGCTACTCTGGGTTTTTGCCACATGCTGATCTGGGGGGGACCCTAATGTACTACGGCCCCTCCGTTGATGGATCTCCTCCAAGATGGCCCACGTGGCTCCCAAGCGTTCCCCAAGAGGGCCCCAAGAGGTGCCAAGGAGACCCCACGAGGCCCCCAAGAGGCCCCACGATACCCTGAAGAGGCTCCCAAGACACCCCAAGAAGCCCCAGGAGGCCCCCCCAGAAGCACCCAAGACGCCCCAAGAGGCCTCGGCGAGAATACCACAAACACTGGTGTCTACAAGTGTTTCGCCACAAATTGGCCTCCTGGGGGGGGGCCCTGATGTACTACGGCCCCTCTGTGGATACCTCTCCTCCAAGATGGCCCCAAGATGGCCCCAAGAGGTGCCCAGGAGGCCCCAATACACCCCAAAAGGCCCTGGCCCCCAGGCGCCCCAACAAGCCTTGGCGAGAATGCCACTGTCACTGATCTTACTAAGATGTTGGCCACAGATGGGCCTCCTGGGGGGGACCCTGATGAAGGAGCCCCTCTCCTTCGATCTCCTCCAAGATGGACCCAAGATGGCCCCCGAGGCTCCCAAGAGGTCCCCAAGACGGCCCCAAGAGGTGCCCAGGAGGCCCCAAGAGGCCCCAGCGATGCCCTCTAAGATGCCCCCCAGAGGCTCGCGCTCCTCCTCCTCGTCGTCCTCCTCCTCCTCCTCCTCCTCCTCCTCCTCCTCCTCCTCCTCTTTCTCATCCGCCTGTTCCTGCTCCATCCTCCTCCCTCCTCCTTCCTCCTCCTCCTCCTCCTCATCATCATCCTGCTCCTCCTCCGACTCTTCCTCCATCCTCCTCCTCCTCTTGGGGTACGACGTCTTACCCAGCATTTTCTCCCCTGTGTTCTCCACCACCTACCTGATCAGGGTAACTCGTCTGGGCATCGTTTCTGGATGGGCTGGTGAGATTACTTTTTCGTCGCAGCCGCAGGCGAAGGCGCACAGCGGCGTCACAAGTCGACTCGGGCAACGAGCAAGCCGAATTAAACCTAACGCGCGCACTGAGGCTGCGTGGCATCGCCGAGGGGCGCTGAGCTGCGCCGAGGGCCGAGGCTGCAAGGGCTGCCAGGGGAGCAGGGCTGGTGAGATTACGCGATGCGCTTAGAATTATGCTGTCCAATGCAAAGCCAAGCACATCCAAGCACTGCAAAGCGCGGCGGCGACGGGGCGGCGACGGGGCGGCGACGACGGCAACAGAGCTACCAGACCGACGCACAGGCCCACACAGTGGGCGGCGACGGGGCGGCGACGGCGGCCACATGGCCGCCAGACCGACGCACAGGCGGCACACACGATGGGCGGCGACGAGGTGGCGACGGGGCGACGACGGCGGCAACATAGCCGCCAGACCGACGCAAAGGCCCACGTAGTGGGCGGCGACGATGCGGCGACGGGGCGGCGACATTGCCGCCAGATCGACGCACAGGCGGCACACACGATGGGCAGCGACGAGGCCGCGACGGAGCGGCGACGGCGGCAATACACTCAGCCGACAGACCGACGCACAGGCCCACACGATGGGCGGCTACGGCGGCCACACAGCCGCCAGACCGACGCACAGGCCCAGCTCCTCATTGCAAAGAAGAAACCCCGAGCGCAAGCACTGCTTGTGGAACATGTGTACATATACGTACACAGATGTACCCATATCCAGATCCCCCGTCTGCCGAGGTCCCCAGGCGGCCCTTATGCATAGGGCCCCGCATAGACACCTCGATCTCGCGCGCCCCTAGCACGCGCGAGAACAGCCTGCGGCTGAGCGCGACGCGGCGGCGCAAGCCGTGTCTCAGCAACACAGGCAGGCCCTCCTGCGCGCACCGCCAGGCCGGCGGCGCCCCGTCGGCGCGCCCGTTGCCGAGCCGCTCGAGCACGCGCACGCCGGCGCAGGGCACGCGGAGCTTGAAGGGCCCCGTCGCGGCCAGCATGCGCGCGGCCCCGTCGGAGACGCAATACAGTTTGCGCTCGTTCTCCCTCTTCCGGACGAGCCTCTATTAGAGCAGCAAGCGTCAGGGATCTCCTGACCCGGGTCAATCCAGACCCGGGTCAGCCAGGCCTGCAGGATCCTGCAAGCTGCTGCAAGATCCTGCACCCAAACCCGGGTCAATGCGAAGGATCCTGCAGGATCCTGCAGGATCCTGCACCCAAACCCGGGTGAATGCGACCCTGGCCCTGCAGGATCCTGCACGATCGGGCGCTCTGGCTGACCCCCGTTTGCGTTGACCCCCGTCTCGAGGCTCCCGATAAACGACCGCGTGGACATAGAAGCAGTCTGAGGCCCGCGCGGATTTCGAGGAGCGGCGCCGGGACCCCCCCGGCGGCCAGCGCCTGGCGCGCTCCGCGCACCCTGGAGGGGGGGTCCGGCGCCGCTCCAAGAAAGCAGCGCAGACTTCCGAGAATTCAAATTTACTGTCGTCGTGCTACCGTCGGGGCCTTGACCTAAGAAACCCTAAATAAGGAACGAGGCCCCTGTTTTCCATAAGTTAACCTTCGATTTCCGATCGAACACCTAAGGAAGATCAAGGGCAAGCTGTGAAACACTTAAGGAACGCGGAGCCCCTCCCCAACGAAAAGGGGTCCTTCTTCAGGGCCCCGACTGTAATTCAAATTTACTGTCGTCGTGCTACCATTATAAGCGCTAAACCAGGAACGAGGGGGCCGTCCTAGCAACGGCGAGCCACGGCCACGGGTAGGCTCGACGACCTGGTCCTCGGGAACGGCCCGAAAGCCCGATTCCCTACCGAGCCCCAAGCGGCCCTTGGTGCAGCGTCCTGGCTACATGCTTCTGCAACTGTTCCTTAAGAGCATTCCACGGTAGAGGGCGCTAGCGGAGCCATCGAAGAAAAAACACGCCAGGGTGCACACGGCCCTGCTACCAACCCCTGTCCCGCCTGTGAGCGTTCAAGAGAATCCCCAGGCACACCTGGGAATGTACGCTTTCGCTCGGCAGGGTGCACATGGCGCTAGTGGAGCCATCGAAGAAAGCACGCCAGGGTGCACACGGCCCTGCTAATTACCAACCCTGTCCCGCCTGTGAGCGTTCCAGAGAATCCCCAGGCACGCCTGGGAATGTACGCTCTCGCTCGCCGACCTCCCGCTCCTCCGCCCGCCTCCTCGGCTCTTGCTGCTGCTGCTGCTGCTCGAGTGCTTCGCTGGGGTACAGTCGGGGCGTTGACCTAAGGAACCCTAAATAAGGAACGAGGCCCCTTTTTCCCATAAGTTAAACTTCAATTTCCCATGGAAAACCTCAGGATAACCTCAGACAAACTGTGAAACCATCAAGGAGCACCGAGCCCCTCCCCAACGAGGAAGGTTCCTTCTTCAGCGCCCCGACTGCAGTCTCTTCCTCGAGCCTCGGCCCGAGGGCCGCGTCCAGGCCGAAGAACTCCGCGGCCAGCAGCCAGCCCGCGTCGTCGGCCGGCACCCGCTCGTACTCCCCCGCGGCCAGCACGGCCGCGGGCGGTACCCGCTGCCGGCCGCTCGGGGCCCCCGCGGCCTCCCATGGGGAAACCAAAAGGCATACTGTTGTCGGGAGCGGCCAAGAGGGGGGTGTCCAAGAGGGGGGGTGCAAATCATGACCGGCGGCATGTGCGCGGCCCAGCGGGGGGGCCAGGGACGTAATGAAACAAGAAGAAGCGCCATGAGATCTGGGGAAATATCATGGCCCGCGCCATGATATCCACCCCCCCTAGTCATCACCCCCCTCTTTGCCGCCCCCGATGTTGGGGCGTTGACCTAAGGAACGATAATTAAGGGACGAGGCCCCTTGTTCCCATAAATTAAATTTCGATTCCCCATCGAGAACCAGACCAGAGGAACACCTGAGGTAGACTGCGCAACACCTGCGGAACACGGAGCCCCTCCCAAACGAAAAAAGGTTCCTTCCTCAGTGCCCCGACTGTACCCATACCGCTACTCCCCGGACCTCTCCCGGGGCGCGCTCTGATCAGAACGTCGAGGCGAACCCAGCGCTGGCGTCGAGGGCGGCCCGGGAGGCCCACGAAGGGGACCACGGAGGAAAGGTAGCGGCATGGGTACCCTGACCTTCTATAGGAGGGCTAAAAAATAGCACCCGACTTAAAAACCTATCCCAAAGCTATTCTAGGTCTTGGTTTCAGGCTGTCTCGCTCAGCTTTTTAGGCTTTTAGGTCTCAAGTGCTCAAAAATAGCTCTCAGGAGGAAGCTCAGGGTGCTCTTCTCCTCCTCTGCGCCTCCGCCTGCGCGCCGCCGCCCGCCGCGCCCGCGCCGCCTGCCGCGCCCCCGCCACCGACGGCCTCGGCCTCGACGCCTGCCGCGCCCGCCTCGGCCGCCGCGCCGGCGCCCTCCCCGCCGAGGGCCCCCTCGCCCGCCGCCCTCCGGCGCCGCCCGGCCTGCCTCTCCGCCGGCGCCGCCGGCGCCGTCCGCTCGAGCGCGGCGGCGAAGAAGCCGCCGCTGTTGGCCCGGTGGGGCAGGAAGCGGCGGCAGTGGCCGCACTGCCTCGCCCAGGACGCGGCGTCCTCGGAGCATCTCGTTCCGATCTCGGCTCCGACTCCCACTGGGGTGGCCTCGGCCCCACGGGCCGACTGGCACGATCTCGGGGGTGCACAGGCCCCCCGCTCCCCTACCCGGATGGGATGGGTGGGGGAACGATGGCGACGGCGACGGCGACGCCAACGAGGACGACGGCGATGACGACACCGACGGAAGACGACGACGATGTCGACGATGACGACAACGACGGCGACGAACCACCCCAAAACCCACAGGGGCAGGGGGGTGCAGCCAGCACCCACCACCACGCCACGCCCGCAGAGCCGCGACTGACAGGGGGGGGGGAGCTGCGTTCCCTCCAGCGGGGGTAGGGGGGGGGGGGGGGGGGGGGGGGGGCGACTCCTCCTCCTCCTCCTCCTCCTCCTCCTCCTCCTCCTCCTCCTCCTCCTCCTCCTCCTCCTCCTCCTCCTCCCCCTCTTGCTCCTGCTCCTCCCCCTCCTGGGGAGGGGGGGGGCCCTGGGACCACGCATGACTGCTCCTTCGGGGTCTTCGCGGGGCCTGCCCCCACCGAACTGGGAGGGTGGGCCGGTGGGGGGCCGAGAAGGCATGGCCCGGGTGGGGTGCGCAGGGCCTGACCGTCCCAGCATTCCTATAGGCCTACAAGCCAGTTTCTATTACATAGGATTGTTTCAAACATATGGGATGTTTAATCCATGACTAATTTATGAATCCATTCATGCTTGAACTCATCGCTGTTTTTAATACTAGACCCCTGCATCTTTAATACATGATCCGCACGCGGAGCATGTATTAAAAACGGCACTGTACCACGAAGTGTTCTCAGAACCCCAAAATATTCCAATAACGAAAACAGGGTTCTTAGAACATAGAACATGCCATTGGAACAAGGTACCAGCAGTGTTCCAAGAGCGGAACCCGACGTGTCAAAACAAGGCGGTCTCAGCCAGCAGTCCACAATAACATATTCTCAGAACGCTCTGTTTGGTGGGCCTCCAGGCGAGCCAGGACGCTTCGCCACTGCTCGAATGGGGATGGGGGCAGGTTGGGGGGAACGAAACATGGCATAAACATAAACACTCGGAGGTCCGCGCGGATGTCTCGGATCCGCGCTGGACTTCCCCCTCCCTTGCGCGCGGAGCGCTCCAACGGCGGCACTCGAAGCGCCGCCAAGAGGCTCCAGCGCGGATCCGAGCACTCCGCGCGGAACTCCGAGTTTCTATGTTTACGTCATGTCTCGTTCCGTTCCCCGAAGGTTCGACGGTGCTCATCCTCGGAGCCCGGCTCGGGGGGGAACAGCGACGCGCGCAGCCTGCGCTGCAGCTCCCTCGGGACCTCCCCGTGCCGCTCCCAGAGCAGCCCGGCGTCGTCGGGGTGCGGCACCGCCCACGCCGCGAGCCCGGGAGCGCCGCACAGGCCCTCCAGGGGGGGCAGCGGGACCAGCGACACGGACCCCGCGCACCGGGCCAGGGCCGCCGCCACCACCGCCTCGTCCTCCAGAGGGTTGAAGCTGCACGTGCTGTAGACCAGCCGGCCGCCCACCTGGAGCAGGTCCAGGCCTCGGCACAGGAGGGTGTACTGCTTGTGGTGCAGCCCCAGAGCCTCCTTGGCGGGGATGGGCGGAACCCCCGTTAGGCAGGCGTGGCTTAGTGAAGACGACCTCGGGCCCAGACCTGGCGGGCGCAGGCCTGGAAAAGGACGGCCGCGGCGCCCTCTCGAGAACCGAAAACGGGCAATCCACTGATCACCGTGTCAGGGTGGGGGTTCTGTCCACCCTGGATCCTTGGGCGACCACTTGCCCCACAGGGTGGGGCACTTGCGGATGGTGCCGTCCCCCGAGCACGGCACGTCGCAGAGCACCCGATCGAAGAGCAACGGCCGCCCGTCCTCGGCCGTGAGGTTCGGGAAGTACTGCCCGTCCAGCTGCGTGACGACCACGCACGGGGAGCCGAGGCGCTGCACCGAGTGCTTCAGGACGTCCGCGCGCTTGGGCACTATCCGCAGGGGAGCGAAGAGCGACACAAACATACGAGCTCGGAGGTCCCCGCGGAGTGCTCGGCTCCGCGCTCGACCCCCCTCCCTGGCGCGCGGAGCGCGCCAGGGGCGGCGCCAGAGGCGCCGCCAGGGGGGTCCAGCGGCGAATCCGCGCCGCCCCTGGCGCGCTCCGCCCCTGGCGGCGCCTCCGGCGCAGTCCCTGGCGCGCTCGGCGTGCCAAAGGGGGGGGGGGGCCCAGCGCGGACCCGAGCACTCCGCGCGGACCTCCGAATCTTTATGTCTGTGTCGGTCTCCGTTCCCCTATCTCTCGTTGGCGACGATGACGCCGGCCGGTGGGTCTCGCTCGCCGGCGTCCTCCCAGTGGAGCATCTCCAGCATCTGGGACGTCTTGGAGCCGGGCGCGGCGCAGAGGTCCAGCACGGAGTGCCAGGGACGGACCTGGATCAACCAAAGCACAGCATACAGTGGGGGCCTGACCACAAGAAACCTTCCACAAGAAACCCCACCCTGAGACCCCAGGACGTCCATCGATTTTTGGTGTGGGAACGTCACGCTTGCCATGGCAAAAACCATCGAAACCCAAGAAACCCAGGGCACCCTGGAGGTAAGAAGGGTGTTTCTTGGCATGGGTCTCCACTGTAGGCATAATCTTTTGGAGTTCCGCGCGGATTTCTTGGATCTGCGCTGGGCCCCCCTTCCTGGCGCGCGGCGAGCCAGGGGTGGTGCCCGAGGCGCCGCCAGTGGAGCCCGGCGCGGATCCAAGAACCTCCGCACGAGCGCCGAACACTTGTGTGTATACATGCTTACGTTGTTCGAGATTTGGCCTGCACGAGACGTGAGAGGCCAACAACGAAGCCGCATGTGGGAGGTTCCGTGCCGCCCCCCCTGCCAGCTTTGCGGATGCCATGACAATGGACACTCTAACGATTCTATCTTTGAGTTAAACAGATGCTTAACATGTGTCGAACATGTTCTAAAAATGTTTCAAACATGTGTTTACCATATCTAAAGCATGTTTGACATATCTTTTAGACATCTGGAAATTATTTGGCAGCATGCTTCCTCTCCACTGATCGACTTCCACAATGCCAGCTGGAACGGTGCCAACCTTTGCGGGGGGGCGCCACTCCCTCGAGGAAGCGCCACTGCCTCGAGGGAGCGGGGGACCCCGAGACCGAGAGCACCCCATAGAGCCTTCTGCAACGACACCGGGCGTCCAGAGCCCTCGTCGAGCCTGGATCCTGGAACCCCGATCTCCGGGAGGAACCGGCGACCCCACCAGTTGTGACACATTGCAGGGCAGGTTTTAATACATGGGATGTTTTAAACATATGGGACCTGAATACATGATTAATGTATGGATACATGTATGCATGAACTCATCGTTGTTTTTAATACTAAACCCTGCATTTGTTATACAAGGTCCGCGCGCGGAGCATGTATTAAAACTGGCGCTACATGTTGCTGCCGCTTGCCATCCTTCGGGGACCTCCAGGCACAGGGGCGGGACCATGGACACCGCCTCTTGCCGGGTCAGCGCGCCATGGTCCTGCAGCCAGAGCAGGTAGGCCTTGAGCCTCCGGTGGGTCAGCCCCTTCCGGATCTCCCAGCTGCACAGGCTGTCCCACTGCCACGCGAGCCCGTGCGGATACCTGGAATAGTAAGGCTGCTTCATAAGCAGAAACTTTCGAAGCTCCGCGCGGATTTCTTGCATCGGCGCTGTACCCCCTCTCTGTCGCGCGCGGATCGAGCGCGGCAGGGGCGGTGTCGGAGGCGCCGCCAGGGAGGTCCCTGTGTCGAACCAAAAGATCCGCGCGGGGCTCCGAAAGCTTAGATGTTTGTGCGCGACAACTACTGGGTTGCGGTTGCCTTTGCTCCTTCCCTCCTTCCCTGCCCCGTGCATCCCTCGTAATTTGCGCCGCGCTACCCTCCCGAGGTCTGGGTCAGGGGCAGTTCGTCCGCAGGCTCACGGAGGCTTTGAAGGTTCAAAGCCGCCAGAGTGCGTTTCTCATTATTTGGGAGCCCGTGCGAGACCTGTCCCGCGGCACGCTCTGACCAAAAAATGTCCCAGAGCATCCAGCCGTGCCGACGAGGACCCTCCAGGACGAGCAGCGGCATCGGTACCCCTCCTCCTCCTCCTCCTCCTCCTCCTCCTCTCCCTCCTCCTCGCCCTCCTCCTCCTCCTCTCATCATCATCTTCCTGCGCCTCCCTCCTCCTCCTCCTCCTCCTCCTCCTCCTCAACCTCCCCCTCCTCCTCCTCCTCCTCCTCCCTCCTCCTCCTCCTCCTCCGCCTCCTCCTCCTCCTCCCCTCCTCCTCCTCCTCCTCCTCCTCCCTCCTCTCCTCCTCCTCCTCCTCCCCTCCTCCTCCTCCTCCTCCTCCTCCTCCTCCTCCTCCTCCTCCTCCTCCTGGGCACCACGCCAGCTCGCGGGGCGCGTACGCGCGCTGCTCGCCCTCGGCCTCGCGCAGCCGGCGCAGCTGCGCCAGCAGCGCCGGCGCGGCGTGCGCGCCGCGGTTCACGCGCACGGCGGCCGGCAGGCCGCACCGCAGCGCGGCGAGGAGCTGCGGCCACTCGGCCTCGGGGCAGATGCCCTGCCGGCGGTAGTAGGCCTCGAAGCGGGGGCTCTCCGCGGGCAGCGCCTCCGCCGGCACGCCCTCGGCCTCCGCCGGCACGCCCTCGCCCGCGGGGGCGTCGCGCTCCGCGGCGCCCTCGGGCGGCGCCCTCGCGCCCTGGGGCTTCACGGTGCGGCGGCGCAGCCGCTTCTGAGGCATCCGAAGGAGGCGGTGCGCGGCGCCGCGCGCCGCGCTGCGCCTGGGCCCGGGGTGCCCACGGAGGAGGGCAGGGGTGCCTCGCAGGATGCGGCCGTTCGCGGGGGGAGGAGGTGGGAGCCGCGCGTATAAACACTCGAAGGTGTGTGTGTGTGTGAATATGTGTGTGTGTGTGTGCGTGTGTGTGTGTGTGTGTGTGTGTGCGTGCGTGCGTGCGTGCGTGCGTGCGTGCGTGCGTGCGTGCGTGCGTGCGTGCGTGCGTGCGTGCGTGCGTGCGTGCGTGCGTGCGTGCGTGCGTGCGTGCGTGCGTGCGTGCGTGCGTGCGTGTTTGTGTGTGTGAGTGTGTGTGTGTGCGTGCGTGCGTGCGTGCGTGCGTGCGTGCGTGCGTGTGTGTGTGCGCGTGTGTGTGTGTGTTCCTCGATCTCGGCCTCTGGGCTCCGGGCCCTGGGGCAATCAGACACCCCTGGCACGTGCGCGGCCCGGGGCTCTCCACACACACCGATGTGGTGCGCCGACAGAGCCCTGCGCGCCGCCGCGCTGGTCCCCCGGCAGGCTGTGCTGTCCGGCGGGGGCGGGGGGCGAGGAGGGGAGAAGCCATGTGCCATGGGGCTTCGCAGAAACGCCACAGGACAGCGTATGGTGCATGACTTTCCGCCACAGCCCGAAGTAGATCCCCCCCCAGACAGGCAACAAAAGGTCCAAAATCGAGACCCCCCCACAATTGTGTTTGACGAAGCCCGTTAGACCCCCCCCCAGAAGCAGACCCCCCCCATTGTTATGAGATCCGGAGTGTGTAGACTATTTTTGTTTGTCGCCAGTTGCCCCTAAACGGTGGACAGACATGCCAGAGTATGGTGAACGTACTCCTGGCCTCAAAGAGGGCGAATCCTCTGCCACGCGTCCAGTGAGAAAAGCACATGTTTTTTGCCACGAGGGGGGGTGCGCTCGCGGTCGCCGCGCCCACTCCGGCACCCCCAACACGTTTCATGAACCAGAGGCGGAGGTTTCCAACGACGGCCCTGGGCTGGGAGTTGAGCCTGCGGTCGCGGCGCCAAGTTCGACACACACTCCAGGGCTGAACCTAAACGGTGTTTATCGTTTTCGTTTTGTTATCGTTCTCCCTCGTTTTGTCTCCCATCCGCCTTTCACGCACAACGAAGTCGAAACGAACACGGCCCACGAACTAGCCAAAACACCGCCTAGGTCCGGCCCTGACACACTCCTTGGCAATGGGGGGGCCGTGGCCGTGGCCGCAGTGTGGGGAGGCGCGTGCGGCCGCCGTGCCAGCACGCCCCCAGATTTGTCGTACCCCCCCCTTCCCTATCCCCCCCCTTCCCTTCGGCCCGACACGCCCCTCACACGATCGCGCCCCACAGGGAGCCCCCAACTCTGGCCACAGTGGGGGGTCGCGCACGCGGGGCCGTGCCCAACTCGGCCCGCCCCGCTGTCCGAACATAAGGAGATGCGGGGACCCGCGCGGACACGCTGTCGAACAGCTCGGCGTGACGCTTGCGGGTTTAGCGCGATTTTCGCGCTCTCGCCACGATCTGAGATCCGGGACACTTCCTGATTCCGGCCTCACGTTTTCGCGACGGACACTACGATGATGAACGATCCATTGTCCAACTACCGGTACTGCTACTCTCCGGACCTCTCCTCGGGTGCGTTCTGACCAGGATTTCGAAGCGAATCCAGCGGTGGCGACAGGGGCCTCCCAGGAGGCCCAAAAACGGGAAAACGGACGAGGGGGTATAGATATGGATACATTTCCCTCCTCCGAGCGGGGGGCCTCACACGCGGGGCCGCGCCCAGCTCGGTACGCCCACCGCACGCTTCGGAGCCTGTCTCTTCTAGACCCCAGCAAGTTGATTTGCGTGGATGGAAGGGGGGCCTGAACCTGAAGCAGGCCCCAAACGACTTGCACGTGCGGAAAACCTGCCAGTCGGAAGGCACGTGCACGCTAGTATTCGTCGAAGAGGGGCGAGGGGGGGGAGCGAACGCCATGCAAGTAAACTTTCCTGAATCAGCCAAAAAAACAAGCTCTCGTGTCCCAGAACCCCAGTTGCGGCCCACTGGGGGATACCTCGCCTGCGATCGCCGTGCCCGGCTGGCACACCCCTCACGCGGCCCGCGCCCCATTAGACGAGCGCGTTCCACTGCTGGCAAAGTAACTACTCGCAAATGGCCTGGATCCGCCGCGGGGGATCTACGATACATGTTTTCACCGAAACAAGCATCTGTTATTTTTCTGACGTCTCCGAGCAGGCACCTTGCGAGAGGCGGAACGCGCTCGGTGACCCATGCAGCGCCCCAGCTGCGACCCTGGCTGGGGGTTGCGCATGCGGCCGCTCCTTCTCTGAGCGGAGGGTGGGAGAAGAGGGGGCTGTGGTTAGCTCTGGCGAGTCCTCCCACGGGCGGAGCTTGGACGAACAATCGAACATATGCAAACAAAGTCTCAAACATACACCAAAATGTTAAACAAATCGTCCCAATAGCATTTGTAAATATTCTTGAATATTCCTCCTTTAGAGGGACAGGCCCGACTTAAGGCTGCGCGTGCGGTCCTCGCGCTCCTTCGGCGCACCCCTCGCGCGTTTGCAGGCCCCATGTTTTTGGGAGAAGTCCGTCTGCAGCCCCCATGAAGCATTGGGCGTCCCTTGTGGCCCTCCCCCTGGATGTCTCCCTCCCGCTCCGCGGAGTCTGCAAGAGGGCCACCACGACCACCCGCCGCATGCAGCTGCTAAGAATTAGCCTGCGATGCGATCCAATGCGTCAAGGACAACACACGTCCAAAATCGGCTGCGAATGCCTGGGGTTTGGCTAAAAGGAGGAATAACCACATAGACATGTGCCGGAGGCGCTGCTGGAGGGTCCCAGCGACGAACCGAGAGGTCCGCCGCGGAGCTCCGAAGCTTTAGATTCTGTGCGCGATGGCAACCGCCGGTTCGCGCCACTGGTGGTGACGACGCCCCTTGCAGCCCTTGCACACCCCCTTACGTTGCATCTTCGGGGGGCCTTGTCTCCCTTGTCGCGCCGCTATCTGTGACGAATCGGCGTCGGATCCTCGTCAAATCCACAACACATCGGCATCCGCATCGAACCCGCGTCGGGCACAAAACAAAAACAGCATACATGCTGAGGGCAGACCAGGCCCCCGGGAGCTGCAGCTGAACCCCCCCCCCTAGCCGAAGCGAGCGAGCCAAGGGGCACCTCAGGCTGGTAAGGCTTCGGGTTGCGCACAGCAGCCTCCCCAAATATTCCCGGCTGGCCTCAAGTGACCCCCGAAGCAGCCCAGGGCGGTCTCAACACCCCGGCGCCGCCTCCAGCGGCGTCCCTGGGGCGCGTCGCGCCTCGGGTTGACGTGTGAGGCCAGACGGGACTACCTGGGGGGGCTGTCTGAGCGCAGCCCGAAGCCTTGCCCCACCTCGGACCCCGCCCCAGCCCATCGCACAGAGCGCGGTGCAAGATGCAGGCAACTCTCTATCGGGGCACAGTGCCTGGCTCCGAGCTCCTCTGACGGGTGACCTGTCCAGCACGCTCCATACTTTCTGCAGCCGTCCGGTCGGTGAGGAAGGCCAGCTCTTCCTCGGCATTCTGAATCAGCGCCTACGTTTCCCAGCACCCTGGCGGCTGCAACTCCAGAACTTGTGAACATCGCGTGGATGCGTGATGAGAACGCCAGGCTGACATATGACGAGGCATCCAAGATCGCTGATGAGGTCAGGTTCCAAACCTGCAGCAAGCGATCGCCAAACTCACCGCCCCCTCGCATATAGGAGTTGCAAGTCTGGATATACAGCGGGCGCTACAGATCGCCATTGCTTCGCAGCATGTGTGCAATGTTCAGCCATGGAACCTGCCAGATTCTGAGATTCGGATTCTACGGAGGTCCTCCCACTCGACCTCCGTGGGACTGCTGCCGTCAACTACCAATAGTTCTGGCCAGGGCCTCCTGGGATCTGAGCGGGGCACTCCCGAGCCGGCCGTGCGACTCCACGCCGGCAGGAAGCAGCGGGCGAGCTGCTGCCCCTGCAGATGGCGACGAGACCCCGCCCCTCCCCGAGAGAGCAACGAGGCGCGGTCGCACAATCACGGTGCTCCCTCCTGGAGCGCGAACGATCGCGAGAGCTGGAGCTCCCCGGTGGCCAGCACCAGCGAGAGCACGGGAAGTACTAAAAACGCTTAGGCCCCTCGAGCTGCAGCCTGGCCCGCCCATCCCCGCCTCCCCCGAGCTGCGCCCCGACCTTCCCTCCGCGTGGCCTCCTCGGAGTCTGCGCCCTCCTCGTCCAGGCCCATGCTGGTGTTGGGCTTGCGGACGCGCTTCACTGCCACCGTGCGGCCCAGATGCTCCTCCCGCAGGCCCGTGGCGGGTGCGCCGCGGCTGAGCAGACGCTGGCCTCAACGCAAAGATGAGTTGACTAAAGCTGCAGTCAAAACTTCCCGGCAAGGAATCATAGTTGTGTTGAAGGGCCATGGCGAACCAATCTACAGATGCTACGAGTGTTCATCGTAGAGGCATGGGAACTACTGACATCAAAAAAACGTTCAAACGGAAATTACTCGAACACGGAACGCTGATTGCTTATAAACACGGCACTATGCGTATTGTGCTTGTGCTTGGATGCTGCTTTGCAAACACATTGTGCACAGTACCTTTGAGAGGTCGAGATATATGAGAAACATTGGATGTTATGACAAAACTTAAAACATCGCTGAACTCGATGTCGAAAAGACCATGGGCGGCCCCGAAACTTCCGAGAAGCGTCATGGTGGCCCCATACCTTGCCTCCCAAAAAGCCCATCGATGGGCCGGCAAGGCCTCCAGAGAGCCCCGAGGCGGTCCCAGCATGAAGATGTGCGTATATACATACATGTGTGTATGCCTCACACTTTGCAACATTAGATGCAAATCTCAAGTGGGGCGTGCCCCCCTACAGGGGGATTTTCGGCGAAAGCTAAAAAATACGCAAAAATACTCCAACATGGTCGACTCAAAAATAGTCCCCAGACTATTTTTACTATTTTTGAAATTCCTCCTGTAGAGGGACAAGCCCGACTTAAATGCTAATCCCAACCCGCACTGGCACTCGTGAGAATGCCCCGCGGCCGCGAGCAGCGGGTCCGCCAGAGCGCGGGCGCTGGCCAAGAGCCGTGCCCCGCGTGCCAGCCCTCGGTGAGCTATGATGCACGAGTGGAAACACCCGGGCTTCACGCTGCAGATCGAGCTATGATTAGGTCGGGCCTGTCCCCCTACAGGGGGATTTTCGACGGAAAAAAAAAGTACCCCAAAAATAATAAAAAATACTCCAAAAATAGTCAGGGGACAATTTTGGTGTATTTTTTTACCTTTTGGGGGGTATTTTTGGGGTACTTTTTCTTTCGTCGAAAATCCCCCTGCAGGGGGACACGCCCGACATACGCCCCGCGTCAACCCCTGGACCTCGCCCGGAGTCAACCTCGAAGCACATACAGGCGGACTTCATTGGACGGGACACGCGAGAGGGCACCAGACCCTTCCGAGGTGCCGAGGGCCACGTTGCCATGGCAAGGCAAGAAGGCATGGGTCGCCAGACACGGGACACACAGGTTCCCTTGACTTGGCAGCGTCGACCTACGAATCCGGGCCGACCGTAGGTCACAAGGAATCCGGCCGTGGCGACGAGAAGACCCTCACGGGCCCAAAAGGAACGAACACCTCCAAAAAACTCTGTCCTCGATGACAACTTTTTTTATCCTCCTCCTCCTCCTCCTCCTCCTCCTCCTCCTCCTCCTCCGCCTCCTCCTGCTCCTCCTCCTCCTGCTCCTGCTCCTCCTCCTCCTCCTCCTCCTCCTCCTCCTCCTCCTCCCCTTGGTCCTGAACAAAGCCCGCTCGACACCAGTCCCCCCCTCATACTGGGTCCACGGACTCGAAGCGGACCTCCCGAGGTCGTCCCCCCCCCCGACCCATCCCCCGTTTCTCCCCCCTCCTCTACAATCCTTGAACACGGCAAGAAACCCGCTCGAATCTTTTCCTCGACCCTCACTTCCCATCTCTCCCGCATCCCTCCCTCGCACCCCCCCCCTCCGAGATCCGACGCAGCGAACACAATGCAAGATCGGGATAAATCACGGCTGGAGCCTTGGACCTCATCTTTCTCCATTCTACTTCGGGACACATCGATCTGTGAGGGCACCGGGGCCCGAAACCGGACGACGACGCCTGGCTCCGTAAAAATGAAACGCCAGGATCTCAGGGATCCCTCCCATTCCCTCCCCTCCTCCCTTTTTTGACGCCCGAAATGAGTAGGGAAAACAAGTTTACGATGCCGAACAGCACATGTTGCCCAAACCACACATGTTGTCCAAAACCGACAGCGGCCGCTGTTGGGCAGGCGGCCATCCGTCTCAGAATGGGCAACGTCCGCGGCGATGCCGACATCGAATCCCGCTGAAGATGAACAGGAGCTGGTGTCGGTCTTCGCACCCGTTCTGTCCTTACCCACTTGGGTCCTACCGATGCCCCCGCACCCGGCCCGCCGATCCCCGGGGCGCGCGCGGAGTCCTGCGGCGTGCCCGCGCAGACCCGCTGCCTGGCCAGCCAGACGTCGCCGAAGGCGCCCTCGCCGAGGTCGCCGACCTCTGGCCACCAGCTTTGGCCGAGGTGCAGCCGGCCCAGGGCCCACGTCATGAGGATGCGCGGTGGAGATGCAAGGGCCACGGACGACATGTTGAAGCTTTTCGAACGGGTGCCTGGCCTCTGCTACGTACTCGACCATGGGCCCCTCGCTACCCATCGGCCGTGGGCGAGGAGGTTAGAGGAGGAGGAGGAAGAGGAGGAGGGTGAGGGGGAGGAGGAGGAGGAGGAGGTGGAGGGAGGAGGAGGAGGAGGAGGAGGAAAGGGTGAGGAGGACGGAGGGAGGGAGGAGGAGGAAGAGTGAGGGGGAGAGGAGAGGAAGGAGGAGGAGGAGAGGAGGAGGAGGAGGAGGATGAGGATGAGGAGGGAGGAGGAGGAGGAGGAGGAGGGTCTTCTGACGGTCTTCGGCGGTCTTTGGCGGTTTCCGGCGGTCTTCAGCGCGAGAGTTGGGCGGTTGCACTGCGTTCCACAAGGGGTCCATGGTCGAACACCTGACCCCTGGTCCCTGGAGGGTTTCTCCGAAGGGCTTTGGCGACCCCTCCTCCTCCTCCTCCTCCTCCTCCTCCTCCTCCTCCTCCTCTTCTTCCTCGGGTCGCCTACGGCCCCGGGGGGAAACCGTGCACTGGGCTCCGGGCAGACCGTGCTGGGCCCTGGGGGCGTGCAAAAGACGGCTCGGCAAGATGAGAAGCCGGTCCCGAAGGAAGGGGCGAGGACTTCTGGGGGCCAAGCTGTGAAGAAATCGCGACGTCGGGGCCCCCTCGCCGACAGGGTCCGACGGCGCCGTGGCTGGGCGAGGAGAGGGAGGTGGAGGGAGGAGGAGGAGGAGGAGGAGGAGGAGGAGGAGGAGGAGGAGGAGGAGGAGGAGAAGGAGGAGGAGGAGGAGGGAGGAGGAGGAGGAGGAGAGAGGGAGGAGGAGGAGGAGGAGAGGAGGAGGAGGAGGAGGAGGAGGAGGAGGAGGCGGGAGGAGGAGGAGGAGGAGGAGGAGGAGGAGGGACAATTACAACTGAAGCAGCACTGCCCTCCACGATTCCAAGGCGTTCTCCTCGTTAGAGGCCGAGCACACTCCTGCGCAGAGCTGCGAGCGCCTGCTGGGCATCTGCGGGCACCATCTGCCTGGCACAGGCTCGGGAAGTAGAGGGAAGGCATTAGTGATACTTCCATGATTCATGATGCTTTCCATCGCTCGGACGCCCATTCCGCGTGCATGTTTCGGATGCGTTTTTTTGGTTGGCAAGATGGTCCAGGATGCTGCTCGATGGTCCACGCTGAGAAAAAATGCACACGTCCGAGTGATGCCCCGCATGGCCCCGCCCAGCAAATCTGGAACAGCGGGGAGGGCTGGAATCGTCGGGATCCCAATGCTTTTGCCACATGTTTGTTCGTTTGGTTCCATATGGCTTTGACGCAGTTTTCCTTCACATCAACAGCAACGACGAGCGACCCCGACCTCATTGACTGCATACCACCACCATAGCAGGGCAGAGCCGCAGCCTGAGCCGGAGTAGCGAATGGCGGCCGTCAACCTGCAGAGGGTGGCATTACTGGGACGGTCGACTTCGCAATGCGGGTCAACGATCACGCTGACTCTTGGCCGCCTTGTCTGTCCCGCCAAGACCGTGAGTAGGCGGTTGGGCATCGATATCTGCAGCTCCAGACTACAGCAGAGGTCCGTCCACAAGAAACCTTCAACAAGAAACCCAATCTTGAGACACCAGGACGTCCTTTCATGTTTGGTGTGGGAACGTTACGCTTTCCATGGCAAAACCATCGAGCACTACGAAACCCAGGGCACCCTGGGGGCCAGGAGGGTGTTTCTTGGCATGGGCCTCGACTGTATTTCCCAACCAGCCTGAGTTGAATTGGATCCTTGCTTTGACTCCGCAGAGCCGCGCCCCACCTCCTCCTCACATGCTTCCCGTCCTTCCCCTGTCCTGCGCACGTCCGTGCCGGCAAAGCTCTCACACGCTTCGTGTCGCCATAGGGAGCTCAAACGAATGCTCAACAGTCAGGGTCCGCGTGGCGTCGCCGCCTCACTTCGGAACTTACCTCATGCGCGTTGCGGCCCCATGGGGAGCTCCAACTAAGGCCCATCTGCCAGGGTCTGTATGACGTCGGCACCTGATTTCAGCACACTCCCCACATGCTTCGTGGTGCTGTAGGGAGCTCAAACGAAGGCCCAACTGAAAGCGTCCGCATGGCGTCGCCGCCTCATGTCGGTACATCCCTCACACGTGTCGGGGCCCCATACGGGGATCCAACGAAGGCCCAAGTGCCAGGGTCCGCATGGCGTCGCCGCTTCATTTCGGCACACCCCTCACGCGTGTCGATGTTCCATCATCAGTTCCAACTGCTGCCCAACTGTCGGGCTCCGCATGACGTCGCCGCCTCAATTCGTCACGCCTCTGATACGCTTCGTGGCTCCATAGGGGCCTCCAAGTACAGCCCAAATGCCAGGGTCTGCATGGCGTCGCCGCCTCGTTTCGGCACACCCCTCACACCTTCCGTGGCCCCATGCGGAGCTCCAACTGAGGCCCACGTGCCAGGGTCCGCATGGAGCAGCCGCCTATGTCGGCACACTTCTCACGCCATTCGTGGACCCATCTGGAGCTCCGCCGGACGCCGCAGTTGATTGCAGGGATCGCATGGCGCTCCCGCTCCCCATTGGCACGCCCCTCGCGCGCCCCTCGGCGGCGGTGCTCGCATGGCGCCGCCCCGCCAAGACCTGCGCGCCAATCCATCCCTCCGCTCGCCCCCCTCGAGCTTCTCGCTGACCTCGCGGCGCTCGCAACTTCACATGGTTGGTTTTTGTTGGGGGGGGTGGCCCAGAGGGTCGAAACATGGGCACATCATCCTTATGTGCCAGCAGAGGCTGCAGCCCGAGCTGCCTCCTCCTTAGCCCGCCTTCACCAGGACAAAGATCGTTGTCGCGGCGCCGGCGGTCGCGCGGCGCGGTCGCAGCCCTGGCGAGGGTCGCCGCAAGAGGGGGACGGAGCACAAGAGAACGGGAAGGGAGAGAAGGGCGGCTGCACTGGGGGACGGAGAGGTGGGCCGCGCATTCAGGCTGGAAAGGTACAGGAGGAGCTCGACCACAGGAAACCTTCCACAAGAAACCCGACCCTGAGACCCCAGGACGTCCATGGATTTTTCATGTGGAAGCGTATGGCCCTCCACGGCAAATCCACCGAAACCCAACAAAAAAAACAGGGCACCCTGGAGGCAACCAGGCTGTTTCTCGGCATGGGTTTCCACCGTATTCGAGTGCCATGCTGCGGCCAAGAAGCCTACACACAATTGCGTAGATATGAGACACGATGTTCAAAGCGGACCCCCCCAATCCATGTGACTGCGGGGTCCATGAACGTCTGCAAGCGATGCGTCCTGCGTTCGAGCAGCTAATGGGAACTCGAGTGCTGAAGCCGCAGAACATGCGAGGATGTCTTGGGCAAGCCTCGCACTTCGAAGAGGAGACGTCCTTCATTCGTGCGACTGTTGGCGGCTGAAAGCTTTGGGATAGAACGCGCTCGATGATCCCGCACGATGAGATATGTATAAAATGGTCCATTCTATACACACGCGTCAACATTGCAAGTCTTCAGCTGCACGGTCATGGCACTCGAAGGCGATGTTAATGGTTTGAAGAGGCCCCGCCCTCCATCGGTGTAGTTGTTGGGATAAAGCTGTCGTTCGGTCTCGTGCAGAGCCAGCGTCCACCGAACGATAACCAGCTTTGGAAAACTCTCACAGCCCATGAGGGACAGCAGGTCTCTGCCCCCCGTCGCGGACACCCCGCTATCCTCCACCCTCCTCCGCCTATTACCCCTCTGCCTGTACCTCCTCCCCCCCTCCTCCTCCTCCTCCTCCTCCTCCTCCTCTTCCTCCTCCTCCTCCTCCTCCTCCTCCTCCTCCTCCTCCTCCTCCTCCTCCTACTCCCCCTACTGCACCGCGTTTCCTCCCCCGACACGCCTCCGTTGCCCCCCCTGCTCCACTGACCGAAGTACGCATCGATTGCAGTGCGTGCCACCCGCGCGGCGACCTTGCTGTAGAAATCTGTCACGCGGCCGGTCTCGTCCTTCAGGAATCTGTAGGGCAGCCTGTTTTACTCAAGCAGCCCTGTCTTTCCTGATTCCAGCGCTCTTCATCTAACGCGGGCTCGGCAAACGGGACCGCCAGTGGACGTCCTCGACTGGCGATTCACGCAACGATGTGGGAGGAATACTCTGAAATCCACAGTGCCAGCAGCTCCAGCTGGACTGAAGCCCGCGGAGGAGCTAGTCAAGATTGTGCTGGGCCCGAGCGCGAGAACGATCACACAAACCTCAAGACACACACACACACACCAACAAGCAGAATCATACGCATATAGTTGCACACAGGCGCGTAAACGTGCACATGAAGCACTCGCACAGGCAAGCGGACAGACAGTGAGGGGGCCACTAACGGCGACAGCGGGGCCACGAAGGGCATGCACATGGGGTCACAACGGGCGCGAACGAGCGGGGGCCACGAAAAGGCATACGCATGTTGGGCCGCGGATGGCAAGGACGGGGCCACTGAGGGCAGCAACGGGGCCGTGAAGGGCAGCGAGGGGGCCACGAAGGGCCACAGCGGGGCCACGAAGGGCATGCATATGGGGCCACCACGGGCGCGCACGAGCAGGGGCCACGAAGGGCATACATAACCTCATGCCCGTGAGAATAAACACTAGGGGATAATAAAGTTCGGGGTTCAGGGAGAGATAATAAAAGTAGCCCAGCAGACCTCAGCATAATCTCGAAGTAAGAGATGATCAAGAGGAGACCAAGCCGAGCACGTTTTGAGACATCCTTGGCGTTTAGTTTTCATAGAAATATACTCAACAATGGCTTATCTCGCTGGAATGGAGGAAGCTATATTTAAAAAATAAAAATAAAAATAATAAAGAATAAAATAAAAGAAATGATAGGAGGAGGAGAAGGACGAAGAGAAGAACAAATCTCGAGTTTCAAATCTATTAGATTCTATTTACAAGCGCTTTATGAACATTGTTTTTTGTAAGTGCTCGTGTAGGGTAGCTCATGTGCCTCAATTTCCATCGATAATCAACCCCAGAGATAAAAAAGTTCAGGCGAGCGTGGGGACAGAGAGAAATATAAAAGAAGAAGAATACAGTAGAAGAATAATAAGAAAGAAGAAGAAGAGGAGAATAAGAAGAGGACGAAGAAAGGAAAAATCCAAAGTTCCAAATCTATCAATTTTAATTTACAAGCGCTTTATGAAAATTGTTTTTTTTAAGTGCTCGTGTAGGGTAGCTCATGTGCTTCATTTTCCATGGAGAATCAACCCCAAGGATAAAAAAGTTCAGGCGAGCGTGAGGACACATAGAAATATAAAAGAAGAAGAGGAAAGTAGAATAATAATAAGAAGAGAATAATAAGAGAAGAAGAAAAAGAGAAGAAGAACGGAAAAATGGAAAGTTCCAAATCTATCAAGTTTAATTCACAAACGCTTTATGAACATTGATTTTTAAAAGTGCTCATGTAGGGTAGCTCATGTGCTCCCCTTTCCATGGATAATCAACCCCAGAGATAAAAAAGTTCAGGCGCGCGCGGGGATAGCAACATCGCTTGATGTTGCTATCTCAACATAGCGTTTCGAGGTGATAATGAAGTTCGGCCTCAGCGCTCGCCGCCCAATTTGAATTTTGTATAGGGCGACGATAATCAACTCTAAACACTGAAGGGGGGGGGGTCCCTTTATTATCATCGGCATGCGGTTATATGGGGCCACGAAGGGCTGCACCGGGCCACGAAGGGCTGCAACGGGGCCACGAAGGGTAGCGAGGGGGTCACGAAGGGCTGCAACGGGGCCACGAAACAAAGCGAGGGGGTCACGAAGGGCTGCAACGGGGCCACGAAACAAAGCGAGGGGGTCACGAAGGGCTGCAACGGGGCCACGAAGGGCAGCGAGGAGGCCACGAAGGGCTGCAACGAGGCCACGAAGGGCAGCGAGGAGGCCGCGAAGGGCTGCAACCGGGCCACGAAACAAAGCGAGGGGGTCACGAAGGGCTGCAACGGGGCCACGAAACAAAGCGACGGGGCCACGAAGGGCTACAACGGGGCCACGAAGAGCAGCGAGATCCCGATTTCTAGGTCATCTGTGAGAGAGTCCTAAGCGTGAGCGCGACTCCTGGGTGCCTGGGTGTCGGGAGCGTGGCGCTTGAGTAAATTGTACGAAATTCCAACGCAAGGGGTCCAATCGTTAGTAAATTGCAAACAAATCTCCAGCCAGAGCGCGACTCCAGAGCGCCGGGACAGCGATTCCTGGGTAAATTGTAAGGAGGTCCCAAGCGAGAGCGCGATTCCTGAATAAAATGCATTGAAGTCTCGGGCGGGAGCGGGGGTTCTGGTAAATTGTAAGGAAGTCTCAAACGGGAGCCGTTGTTGTTGTAACACGGGGGCCAGGGGCACAGTTTGATTATCAAGACTTTCCCTGTCCAAAACAAGGTGCGAGCGTCGAGGGGCACACTTTGATTGAGAAAATACAATATGCACCGGTGGGGGGGATCAACAAGAATTATTCTTCTGAAATGAGAGTTCAACAACAGCAAGAACAACAACGCAACAAGAAAAATCCTCACTACGGATCCCCACTTCAGCCACGCACCCAGGCAGAATGAATGACCGTTCGCCCCCCTCACTCTGATATATATATATATATATATACATATATATATATGTATGCATGCATGCATGCATGTACGTATGTATGTATGTATGTATGTATGTATGTATATGTGTATGTGTATGTGTATGTGTATGTGTATGTGTAGGTGTATGTGTATGTGTATATGTATATGTATATGTATATGTATATGTATGTGTATATGTATATGTATGTGTACATGTATACGTACATGTATATGCATATGTCTATGTACGTGTAATTGTATATGTATACGTATGTGTATATGTATATGTATATGTATGTGCATACATATATATATATATGTGTATATGCATATGTATATGTATACGTATATGTAGTTATATATTCATATATAGTATGCATGCATGTATATACATATATGTGTATACCTACATGTATTAGAATCCCGTCTCTCCGGTGGTCTTCCTGCTGTCTGTCAGGGCACACGGCCTCAAAAAAAGAGCTAGCTTGGGAGCCATATTTAGTCTCAGCCTCCTCGCCGACCGTGGTTGCCTAGGATCCCCGTGGGACGCAAGCTGACGGCCAAGGGGCGCCAGAGCTCTGGAAGGCCCGAGGTAGCCCCATGATGCCCTCAAGAGGCCCCAAGCCAGCCGAACACAACCTCAGTAAAACTCCAAGGAGGTGCCAAGATAGTCCGAATATCGCCCGTCTTGGGGGGATGCAGTCCTTTGTAAGAGCCAGACGGTTTGTATAGAAATGTGCACGCCCACGCCCACGTGGGCAAGCCAGCGCCCCGCCATGCCAATGTAATCATGACTGCACGCCTGCTCGTGTGCACGTGCATAACGTCCCACCCCGCGCATGTGCGGAGCAAGTCTGTCCAGACAGCCTCTGTTCGGATGAGTGGCCGCGAGGCGCGATGGACGACACTAGCATGCACCACGAGACACCTGGTCGAATGCCGACCACCGCTGGGAGTACAAAGTCAGCGGGCATGGGCACCGAGAGCGCTCCCTAAACCCCGGCTCCTCTTGGTGTCAATCTTCGCCTGCGCCAGCTCCGAGCTGAGCCTGCGCCTGTCGGTACTCCTGCTGGACGCGGATGCATCGATCTGGAGATGGCGTATTTGCGAACCGAGTCCGGCTGCAGAAGAAAAAGGACCTATACGAGAAGCCTCTCGAATGGGCTCCGAGCATCTGGGACCAGAAGATCGCGCCGCATCGCCGGTGCATCCGCGATGCGGCGCGATCCCCCGACGCCAGCTGCTTCGAACCCACTTGGGACGCCCAGACTTGTGGCGACGCTGTGGCTGGGGGCCAGGCACTTGGCCGCCGGCGTCACCAATGACACACAGCGGGAATCATCCGCCAGTCCCCTCTTGGGCCACTACTCGCCGTCGCTCGGACGTCCATTTCCCGTGCATTTGTCGGTTTCGCGCGTGTTTTTTTTGCTCGATGGTCCAGGATCGTCCTCAATGGTTCGCGCCGGGTAAAATGCACACGTCCGAGCGATGCCAGGACTAGGCACCAGGCGGCGCAGCTTCCATGTCTTCAGCCTGCAGCCTGTCCTCCACTTATCGGTTCCCGTGCCAATGGATTTCATCTGCTCCTCTGTGCAAACGTTCGAAGTTTACAGGTCATGGCTCCTCGTGCCAGAACTACAACGTTACGGAACACGCGACCCTCCCGGCCCGACAGGAACTGGGTGCCTTACCGAAATCATGTCGTCGGACTCTCTGGGGGCCCTGAGACACGTAAGGTTAGCCTGCTTATGCACCCAACACTTAGCAACTTCAAATAACATTGGTGGCGAACATCTCTGTACACGATCCGTGTGATGGAAGAGCCAGGATGGGTGGAGGGACGCATACCAACTTTCTCACTGTGGCCGCAGGTGGACTTCCCAGGCGGGCACGAAGCGTGTGAGGGGTACGTCGACAAGCACGGGAAGATGAATGCAACATTTCCCACGCTGGGGCTCTAGGTGGGGCTGGTGCGAGAGTTGTGCCGAAAGGGGCGGACGTATGCACGCAACCTGTCCCACCGAGACCGTTGGCACAACCAAAACGTATAGTAAGGACGCGAGGTAAGGACGCAAGACCCTTGGAGGCCGAAGTTGGGATTTTTTGGGCGGCGGGCGAGCAGTGAAAACGGCATAGGACGGGCCGCAGAGGCAAGGGCGCAAGGGTACCCTGGATGAAGGCGCGCGTCCTTACTAGGCGCGTTGACTGTAGAGCTCCCTGATGGTGCGCGATCCTGGTGAGCGGCGTGGCGAAAAACTGGGCGGCGCCGCCGCACGGACCCTGCCACTGGGGCCGCAGGTGGAGCTCCCTACAGCAGGGGCCCGACCACAAGAAACCTCCCACAAGAAACCCAACTCTGAGATCCCAGGACGTCCATTGATTGTTGGCGTGGGAACGTCACGATTTCCATAGCAACGCCATCGAAACCCAAGGAACCCAGGGCACCCTGGAGGCAAGCAGGGTGTTTCTTTGCATGGGTCTCCACTGTATGGGGCCACGGTCCTCGCGAGGGGTTGCAACGAAATGGGCGGCGGCGGACCCTGCCACTGGGGCTGCAGGTGGAGCTCCCTGTGGGGCCACGATCCTCGCGTCGGGGTTGCATCAAAATGGGCGGCGGCGGACCCTGCCACTGGGGCCGCAGGTAGAGCCCCCTGTGGGGCCACGGTCCTAGTGAGGGGGTTGCATCGAAATGAGTGGCGGCGGACCCTGCTGCTGGGGCCGCAGGTGGAGCCCCCTATGGGGCCACGGTGGTCGTGACGGGGGCGCCGGCCCCTTTCTGCAACGGCGAGCGCTCCATCCCCCGACGCGCCAGCTGCATCACGAGAACAGATCGCCCCGGCCGCACGAGTCAGAGGAGTCCTCCTCCTCCTCCTCCTCCTCCTCCTCCTCCCTCCTCCTCCTCCTCCTCCTCCTCCTCTTGCTCCTCCTCCTCTTGCTCCTCCTCCTCCTCCTCCTCCTCCTCCTCCTCCTCCTCCTCCTAGCGGCTCCAACTCCTCCTCCTCCCCATCCTCCCTTGCCCTCCTCCCTCCTCCCTCGCATCCCTCCCCCCGCATCCTCCCACTCCTGCGGGGTCGCCGCCGGTGCCCCGCCCCGGCCCGACCCGCCCGCAAAGAGGGGACCCAGCCCTTGCCGCTAGAGCGACCGGCGCGGCCGCAATGGAAGGGCCACGACAGGGGGGGATAGGGATAGGGTTAAGTCGGGCCTGTCCCCCTACAGGGGGATGTTCGACGAAAAATAAAAGATGCTCCAAAAATAATCAAGAAATAATCCGAAAATAGTCCAGGGACTATTGCTTGAGTATTGTTGGACCTTATTGGGGATAGGGATAGGGGGGGAAACGGACGAGCGCACGAACGAAAAGTCATACGCCCTGGGCGCGTGGACTCATGCGAAACTGAGTTACTCTACTCTCCCACGCCGCTGCATCGTGCACGTTGGCGTTCAGCTGCGCGGAGACCTTCCCGACCTGCGTCGTCCACTCACTCTTGGGGCGGCCGATTTTTCTGACGTGCCTGTGCGTGAGAGGGACGAGCCCACCCTGCATGAAGGTTCTTTGCCGCAGCACATCATCCTGGAATCGGCGGTACATCGCCGATACATCGGCGATAGGCCTCCGATAGTGAATCCGCACGTTCCTGGGGAGGTTGGGGCTATCGGACAAATATCGGAGATCAATGGGCGATTGGGGGTCGATGCATCCCCCCTTGTGCCTATTCTCCCCCTATCGTTGCCCCTGAGCAAGGGTGACCCATCTGTCGGGGAAGAGCGCTGGCCGGTGATCGGGTTGCTCATACATCCCCTGCCGCTTCTCCTCCCAGTCCTCCCCGAGCTTCTCGTGCGGAGGAGCGGAATCTGCAGAGCTCACAGACCTTTGGACTCACGCGCCGCTTGCGCGCGAAGCGCGCCCAGGGAAGCACTGCAGGGGCCGCCACGGGGGGCCTGGCGCAGATCCCCCGAAATCTGCGCGGACTTCGTTGCTGCGGTGCTTCTTTCTCGTCGATCGTCCTTCCTCTCCCTGTTCTTCTCCGCCCTCCTGCACCCCCTCTCACCTGGGCGAGGAGGCTCGGCCGCCTGCTCGCCATTGATGGCATCCAGGTCCATGTCGATGCACCAGAAGGCGCATGGGACCAGGCGGCGCATAGCCACTCGAGCCGCGTGGCCGCAGGCAGTGCGCGCAGGGTGCACGCGGGCGGGGAGTGCGGACTGCGGTGCCGCAGTGTCTGTCTGGACGGAGTGAGTTCGGCTGCTGGGCCCCCGCGGACCCCTGCGTGCGTGCGTGCGTGTGCGTGTGCGTGTGCGTGTGCGTGTGCGTGTACGTGTGAGTGTGCGCGTGCGTGCGTGTGTGTGTGTGTTGTGTTTGTGAGTGTTTGTGAGTGTGTGTGTGTGTGAGTGTGTGTGTGTTTGTGTGTGTGTCGGGTCGGGACGCCCCGCCCTTTAGTGTTGTGTTGTTCCCTGCGAAGTAATCACTGATACCCTAGACACGTCAAAAACCATTCTGCGCCCACTGTTTGCCATAAGTCCGTCTGTGTCGACAGCAGAGACCCTCGTTACGCGCTTGGTGGAATCTCACCTTCCAGTTCCCGCCCGCCAGTGAATCTCTCGCCCCTGCAGCGTGGGGGGGGGCAGATGCACGAGGCAGCGCGGCTGGAGTTCCTTTGTACATCGCAATCGATGAGGAGGGGTCGCAGTGGGGAGCAGACTATCACAACAGATCGCAACGACAACGCGTCTCAGTCATGGGAGCATGCTGCCACCGCGCCTGCACCTGAAACGCGCGGCTGGTGAGGTTGGAGACGGGAGAAGGGACCACGGTTGCCTATTCGACCAGACCGCTACGATTTGTACATGTACATCATAACAACTGGCACGAAGAGAGGGGGTCCCGAAAGAGCTTTTCGGCTGCGTACGCGCAGGAGCGGCCCTGGGCAACAGTGACCTTTGGTGCGCGGCCCCGGGGGGGGCGCGGGGGAGGCGAACCCGAGCGCGCAAGCCACTGCTGCGAGGGGCCCCAATCGGCGGTGGACAAACCTCCCTGTAGTAAACCTCCCCGTAGTGAAAACGGCCTGGGGCCGAAACCGACGGACCGGGACCCGCAGAAGTGACGGCCGCGACGCCCTCTCGCGAGCCGAAAACGGCCAGTTCCATAACCGACGTGTCAGGGCAGGAGGTCTATCCACCTCCGACCCTATGGGCCCGCACCACACAGGCCTCGGAGAAAAATAGCGAACACTCATGCCACATTCATCTGTGAACGCCTCCCCCTCCCCCCAATGTTCAAAGTTGGCGGTGGGTCTGATGAGTTGCACCTCTGCCGCAGTCTCCCCCCCGCGTGCCAACCTTGAGTTAATTGTTTCCCTCTACCGTAGGTCGCTCTGGCGAAGGGTCACTTCCACGTGTACCGTCGACCCGTACCGCGCGGATTTCTTGGATCTGAGCTGGACCCCCCCCGCCATGGCGCCGCACGGAGCGCGCCAGGGGCGGCGCCGGAAGCGGCGCCGGGGAGGCGCAGCGCGGATCTCACAACTCCGCGCGGAGCGCCGGCAGTTTATGTTTATGGCGATGTGTCTTCTTCGTCGAGGACTGTAGCTGAAGGCTGGTGAGCGTTTTCCTATTCGGCGTTTCGACACTGGGCGGAAGGGGGGGGAGGGAGGGGTCTGGCTCCGGACCTCTGCTCAAAGCCACTGTTTGCAGCAGCGCGTCCTGTGGGGGGGAGACTCCAACCTGCCTGAAACAGGCACCAGAAACAGCCAAGAGGTCCAGGGGGGGGAGGGGGGGTGGGCGAAGGCCCGCGCCGGTCGGCAAAACACGGAAGAAAACACTACCACACTTGCCTCCCCGCATGTCTCAGTCCCGCTGGCCTTCCGTTTTTCGCTCCCGCTGGGCTTCCCGCGGGCCCTCCCCCGACGAAGAGGCGTGCCTACCCCCCGCTGCTTCTCGAGGGTCCAATCCTCTCCCCTCAAGCGCCGCCCCACGCTGGCGCCGAGCGCTCTCCCGGGACCGGCCCCACCTGCGCATTGGCGGCGAGCGAGGGGTCCTCCTCCTCCTCCTCTTCCTCCCCCTCCTCCTCCTCTTCCTCCTCCTCCTCCTCCTCTTCCTCCTCCTCCTCCTCCTCTTCCTCCCCCTCCTCCTCCCCCTCTTCCTCCTCCTCCTCCTCTTCCTCCTCATCCTCCTCCTCCTCCTTCTCCTCCTCGAGGAGTGCTGAAAAATAGCCCTCCAGACCTATAGACCTATCTGGACCGCCTGAAACCTCGACAGGAATCTGGGCCTCAAAGTCCTGAGGCTATTTTTGGGCACTGCGGAAGGTCAGGGTGAGAAGGAGAAGGCCTTCTCAGAAGGCGGTGGGACTTCTCAGAAGCCCTCGCGCCTGCTGAGAAAAACAATGGAGGCCAATCCACAAGAAACCTTCCACAAGAAACCCAACCCGGAGACCCCAGGACGTCCATCGATGTTTGGTGTGGGAACGTCACGACTCCCATCGCAAAACTATCAACACCCAGGAAACCAAGGGCACCCTGGAGGCAAGCAGGGTGTTTCTTGCCACTGTATGTTTGTCTCCGGGGAAGGCTTAAGAAACTTCTCAGACAGCTGGGGGGCTTCCGAGCCTTCTGAGAAAGCCTTCTAGATAGGGTCCGAATAGATGAGGTCAGAAGATCTCGCCGCATCGCCGATGCATCGGCAATGCATCGGCCATGCACTGGCGGCGTCGGCGATACATCCGCGACTTCGGCGTGGAGCAAATTTGGCCCCACATCGCGCCGCATTGCCGATGCATCGCCGATGCATCGGCGATGCGGCGCGATCCTCCGACCCCATCTACTCCGACCCCATCTGGGAGCCCTGGAATTCTCACTTCTCCCCCTCGCTCGCCGCCAGCCACCTGCTCAGGGCCGCCGCCGCCGCCGCCGCGGAGCCCAGACAGGCGAGGCCCCTGCAAGACGCTAGCGCGAGCTACGTGAGGGTATTGGATAAGGAAACGCTGGATACAATTTCCAGGGTTTGGGAGCCTGGTGGAACTCCAGTTGTGTACTGGCCATGGACCTCACCGCCGCCCTAATCAAATACGAAATCCCACAAGGTCTGAACCCTCCTGGCAACGTTCCTTCAACAGCGCTCCTTCTGGAATGCATTCTACAGTGCGGGCGCGGCCGCAAGAAATCATCGCAACAAAAAACTACCTGAAAACCCGCGCGCGAGATGCCTCTGAGGCTAAGCCCGGAGCACACTGAACTCAGCAGCTTCTTCAGCGGCTGTGGGAATTCACCGCGCAGCGCGCGGAGCGAAGAAACCCAGGATACCCAGACGAAAAGCACATGGTTTCTTAATGCGCGCCCCCACTGTAGAGACGGAATCTCGAGGACATGCCAAGCTCCCATGAGATGCTACCGAGAACACCTGCTGCTGGGAGGGCACCGCTCTCGACTCCCGGCAGGGGCTGCGCGGCCTTCCCCAAGGTCTGCAGTTGCGACGACGGGCCCCTCGGTGCACTCACGGCGCTGCGGTGCTGCTGCTTGGCGGGGGGAGCGTCTGCGTAAGACGAAGCCAGAACGAGGGCAAATCCGGGAGAAGAGAAATCGAGAATCTCGGCGATCTGGCGGCTCTGGAGAACGTATCGGGCATCGCGGCCTTCTCACAGCGCTCCAGAACGCTCCGAGAGCCTTCCGGCACGCCCTGGAACGGACTTGTCCTCGTCCCAGCCCCGTCCGACGACGGCAGGTCCGTGCCGTGGCGACTTCGGCGCCGGCTTCTGACACCGCCTGGATCGTTCAATTTTTTTTGTTCGTCGACGCCGCCCGCTAGAGAGCCCAAACTCTATGAATAACCACGCAAGCGAGCACTCCAGTGACTACCGGTGGCACCAGTGACCTTTCATCACGGGCGAGGAGGTTGCGAGCATGACTGTGGCAACCTAAACGGTCGCGGCCGAAGGCGGTGACGTTAACCCGGCCGGAGGCGGCCTGGATCGTTCAACATTGGCGCACCGCGGCTCTCCAGGAGCGCCGATCGTTCATGGTTGGGCGAGTGGCCACTGGTGGCGCTAGACCTTGAGCGCCCGCGGTGCGGACGCCGCAATGTTGGCACGAGACGAACCCATCGTTAAGTCGGACCTGTCCCCCTACAGGGGGATTTTCGGCGAACAACAACTAATACTCAAAACATATTCCCAAATGGTCAACAAATGATCCAAAAATAATCCTCAGACTATCTTTTGACTACTTTTGAATATTCCCCCTGTAGAAGGACAGGCCCGACTTAAACCTATCGTACTCCAGAGGAGCGAAAGAGTGCGCTCGCTCTTCTTATGGGTCAGCCCACAACGACTTCCGACGGTCAAATCTCCAATCCGCAACGCACCCTCAATTGCGCTAGCAGATGCCATCGCCCCATATAAACACCGTGAGTGTGATATCTGCTGCGCAGATGCGCCAGGCACGAGCGCCCGTGGCACTGCATACCTTGGGAAAACTACGTAAAGAAGATAATTCTTGATCGGGATGCTGCCGGCACGGTGCAAAGTGGAGGTGCGATGCTTGACAACCGCTGACGATGGTGATGCGGGCCAGAACATCGAAACCTGAAACCATGTGCACTGCCTTGAAGACCGTCGATTGAAATGAATATACTTGCAGAATACGTTATGACAACACAAATAAATACGGACACCCGGGTCGCCAAGCAAAAGGCAACCGTAAACAATGTCTGTGCCGAACGTGCCAAACTCATGTACAACAGCACTTGCGCCGCAAAGTCATTTGTCTTGTTCACTGCAAGTCGCAGTGCAAATGCCGATAACGCACCACAGAAAAACACAACGTTACGATGCTCATTGAACCTGGAAGTTCTGAACAACGGACTTCGGGGGACCACCCATATGCCCCAGCATGAAACCGCCCTGAAACTTCTGATTTACCAAGAAGAAACAGCCTGACACTGGCTGCTGCCAATTCGCTGTTACTCCAGAGCAGACTGTTGGCGGCTATTGCCGCATACTGCCACCTGAAGCGCCCACTGTGGCCCAACCACACGGGAGAAACATGCCCAACATTGGACTAGTCAGGCCCCGCAACATGGAACACGCCCGCTGGGGCTCTATCTGGAGCGCACTTCTGGCAAGGGAGCTGGTGGCCCACATGAGACATGCACCCGCGCCCACCGCGAGCTCGGCAATGCTCGGTCCAGATGCACTACGTGGTTGGGCCCACTGGGGCTTTCGTTGGGGCTCACTGCGGCGGAGAGCAGAACGTGAGCAGGGACAGAGCAAGAGAGAAAGAGAGAGAGAGAACCAAACAAAAAAACACATCTACACACATAAAGAGAGAGAGAGAGGGATAGAGAGAGAGAGAGAGAAAGCGAGAGACAGAGAGAGAGAGAGAGAGAGAGAGAGAGAAAAAAAAAAAGAGAGGGGGGGAGACTGCGGGATAGGCGAACCGAGCAGTTCATCGCAGAAGCCCCCCGAGAATCCCTGCCCCGTGGCCTCTGCGCCCCACGGATCTGGCAGTTATGCTGCCCCGAGGCTGCCACCCAGTGAACGGGTAAAACGACGCGAAGATCGGGACAAAATCGGATCGGGATAACTCGAAATCTCTGAGAATCGGCGGGTTTGGAGGATGTATTGGGCGCCGCGGCCGCTCCAGAGCGTTCCGGAACGCTCTGAGAGCGCTCCGGAACGCTCTGGAGCGATTTATCCCGATCCTAGACCTGTTTTAACGGGCCCTGGCGGGCGAGAGAGGAAAATATAACAAGCCGGAGGAGCCCGCACGCGCGCGCGGAGGCCGGGCGGCGCGCCACCTCACAGGTCGCTCTTCCTGCGGCGGCGGCGGCGCTTCTGGGCCTCGCCGCCGGGGCGCGGGCCCCGCGGGCAGGCGCGGCGCGGAAGGAGGCACGGGCCGCGGCGCGCCGTGCCTCTCCGTGAGGTGTCCGCGGCGCCGCGTGCTCGCACGCGGCTGCTGCTCTGCACTCGGGGTGCGCACGTGCGGCGGCACGCTCCTCTGTACAGTCGGGGCGTTGACCTAAGGAACCCTAAATAAGGAACGAGGCCCCTTTTTTTCCATAAGTTAAACTCCGATTTCCTATCGGAAACATAAGGACAACCTGAGGCAAGCTGTGAAACACTTAAGGAACGCGGAGCCCCTCCCCAACGAAAAGGGTTCCTTCTTCAGCGCCCCGACTGTACCGTCAAGCCGTCTCATGAGGATGCGCGGTGAGGAATGCCAGGGCCTTGGAGGGCCAGGTTGACGTCTTCGAACCAGGTCGGCCAGGGAAAATCGCTGAGGATGAGCCGAATGGGGCAGGGATGCAAGGGTATCCTTGGGAAGGTTGCCCATTCTTACTATGCTGGTTGACTGTAGGCGTACGTGCACTCAGGTCCGCATGTTCGGCGGCACGCTCACCAGTCGGGCGATGGAAGTGGAGGGGTCGGCGCAACTTTCGGTCGAGACGGCCGCGTGTCGAGTTGAGTTGGCCATGCGTATGCTACTCACGCTTGCCTCGTGCAGCCAGGCCATAGCAGTGCTGTCAATGATGTATGTTTCTTGCGTTCTGGCATGGGATTCCCCCATGATGGTTTGCGCGCCTGCTGCCCTTGCCATTTGCAACACAGCATCACCCCCAAATCTAATTCGATGCTTCGAACGGTCCAGCCCTTTAGGTCTCCCACCACGTGTGCTCCCACACGTCCCACTGACTGCCTGAAGCTAGTGCGCTCCAACTAGCGTGTAACGAACTACTGAGCCTGTAACGTCGCTATCCGTAAGGTTACGTACACCGAGAGAATCAACTCTTCTGGGAGATTAGATCTGGCGGTTGCACCCACTGTGGACCTGACTATCTGACTGTATACTTCCCTATGGGACTCACAATGTCCGTCAGCGTACCCCGAGGCAAGATGGCAATAGATGGCCGATTTCGGAAACCCTGAACCCAAGCACGTTTTCATCCCTTGGGGGCGCCTCTTCTACTTCCGCCGCCTTCCGTCGCCCTTCCGCCGGTTTCCGCCGGCTTCCGCTGGCGGAGGCGGCCTCGTTTTACTTCCGCCGACCTTCCGCCGCCTTCCGCGACAGAAGAGATGACAACTCCTTCGACTCGACCCTTGAAGGCGAGGCTGTTTGCGTGTCGAAGACGCCTACGGTGAACCACCGCCGCCCCCTGCCTTCTTGGGAAGCGCCTGTGTCGCCAAACTTTTGGCGAGAGCTTGGCCCAACTATCGGACCACGCATCCCCCCAGCAACTCTGGAAGCTCGTCGGCGGGAACGCTTGGGGAGCATCAGGAGAGGGAGGGTGAGTTTTAAACACGCGTGCTCTGGCATGCACGTGGGTGCCACTGGTCTCGGCACCCTAGCCGAGCGCGCAGCAGCACGCTCGCGGCAGGGTAGGCCAGCGGCCTCAGCGCGCGAGGAGGAGGCCTCTTGGGGACCTCTCTTGGGGCCTCCTGGGAGCTCCCAGGGTCCCTCCGAGACCTGTGCTCTCCATCCTGCAGACAGCCCCACGAGAGCTCCGGGTGCCCGCGGCCGCTCTCGGGGATCGCCGCCCGACCTCTCCCGAGACCCCGGGGGGGGCATGCCCTGCGACGGAGCTCCACAGCGACGGAGCTCCACAGGATTGTGGATGCCATGACAGTGGACACTCTAAGAATTCTACCACTAAATTAAACATGTGTTTGAAAAGAGAAAAAATTGTCTAAACATGTTTCAACCATGTTCTAACATATCTAAAAAGACATGTTTGAAGCATGTTTTAGACATCTGGAAATTACTCGGCAGCATGCTTCCTCTCCATGAATCGACCTCCACAACCATAGAACTCCGTTCCGCCTTCAGTGCCGCCGAACGGCCGAGGAGGGCGCCAGAAAAGGGCTCCACACACCATCATGGCAGGAAGCTTCACTCGCACCAGGGCGTGCGACGGAAAACTCAGCACCCCCAAAACGGGGACGAGCCCGCTGTCTGGCGAGAGCTCTGTGGCTCAGTATCCGACTGTCGGCGCGCAGTAGACGCAGTGGCGAAAAACTGGCGGGGTGCGACGGTGCCGTGGGTCCGTGCGGAAGCCCTCTCGGGGTGAGCCACATCTGCGGTATCCCTTGCGCGTGGAACCACAGGTCTGCGAAGCGTTCTCTCGCCCTCTCTCTCTCTCTCGCTCTATCGCTCTCTCTCTCTCTCTCTCTCTCTCTCCCTCCCTCCCTCCCTCCCTCCCTCCCTCCCTCCCTCCCTCCCTCCCTCCCTCCCTCTGTGTGTGTGTGAGAGAGAACGCTTCGCGCGTGAGGCCCGCTGCGCATGGCACCCCACCCGTGCGAGCGCCGCTCCGAGAAGTGTCGCAGGGCCGAGAGCCCGCGAGGCGGCCACGGGCACGCCCGCGCGGCCGGCGCCCGGGCGCCCGCGGGGCGGGCACGTGCCAGGCTCACGTCGGGCGTGTCCCCCTACGGTCGGGGCGTTGACCCAAGGAACCCTAAATAAGGAACGAGGCCCCTTTTTTCCATAAGTGAAACTCCGATTTCCGCTCGGAAACATGAGGACAGCCCGAGGCAAGCTGTGGAACACTTCAGGAACGCGGAGCCCCTCCCCAACGAAAAGGGTTCCTTCTTCAGGGCCCCGACTGTACAGGGGGATTTTCGACGAAAAATAAAAATTATGCTAACGGAGTTCCCCACATGAAGAGGTTAACGGTTTCGTGGGACACATTTTCTTGATACCCTCCTCGCTCAGGCGGGGCCTCCCTGGAGGTGTGGGAGGGGCACGAAACCATGTAAATAGTATGGTTTGCGGATACCCTCCTCGCTCAGGCGGGGCCTCCCTGGAGGTGTGGGAGGGGCACGAAACCATGTAAATAGTATGGTTTTCGGATACCCTCCTCGCTCAGGCGGGGCCTCCCTGGAGGGGTGGGAGGGGCACGAAACCATGTAAATAGTATGGTTTTCGGATACCCTCCTCGCTCAGGCGGGGCCTCCCTGGAGGTGTGGGAGGGGCACGAAACCATGTAAATAGTATGGTTTTGCCTCCCTGGAGAGGTGGGGCACGAAACCATGTAAATAGTATGGTTTTCCGATACCCTCCTCGCTCAGGCGGGGCCTCCCTGGAGGGGTGGGAGGGGCACGAAACCATGTAAATAGTATGGTTTTCCGATACCCTCCTCGCTCAGGCGGGGCCTCCCTGGAGGGGTGGGAGGGGCACGAAACCATGTAAATAGTATGGTATTCCGATACCCTCCTCGCTCAGGCGGGGCCTCCCTGGAGGGGTGGGAGGGGCACGAAACCATGTAAATAGTATGGTATTCCGATACCCTCCTCCCTCCTCGCTCAGGCGGGGCCTCCCTGGAGGGGTGGGAGGGGCACGAAACCATGTAAATAGTATGGTTTCGGATACCCTCCTCGCTCAGGCGGGGCCTCCCTGGAGGGGTGGGAGGGGCACGAAACCATGTAAATAGTATGGTATTCCGATACCCTCCTCGCTCAGGCGGGGCCTCCCTGGAGGGGTGGGAGGGGCACGAAACCATGTAAATAGTATGGTATTCCGATACCCTCCTCGCTCAGGCGGGGCCTCCCTGGAGGGGTGGGAGGGGCACGAAACCATGTAAATAGTATGGTATTCCGATACCCTCCTCGCTCAGGCGGGGCCTCCCTGGAGGGGTGGGAGGGGCACGAAACCATGTAAATAGTATGGTATTCCGATACCCTCCTCGCTCAGGCGGGGCCTCCCTGGAGGGGTGGGAGGGGCACGAAACCATGTAAATAGTATGGTATTCCGATACCCTCCTCGCTCAGGCGGGGCCTCCCTGGAGGGGTGGGAGGGGCACGAAACCATGTAAATAGTATGGTATTCCGATACCCTCCTCGCTCAGGCGGGGCCTCCCTGGAGGTGGGAGGGGCACGAAACCATGTAAATAGTATGGTTTTCCGATACCCTCCTCGCTCAGAGGGGCTCAGGCGGGGCAGGGTGGGAGGGGCACGAAACCATGTAAATAGTATGGTATTCCGATACCCTCCTCGCTCAGGCGGGGCCTCCCTGGAGGGTGGGAGGGGCACGAAACCATGTAAATAGTATGGTATTCCGATACCCTCCTCGCTCAGGCGGGGCCTCCCTGGAGGGGTGGGAGGGGCACGAAACCATGTAAATAGTATGGTATTCCGATACCCTCCTCGCTCAGGCGGGGCCTCCCTGGAGGGGTGGGAGGGGCACGAAACCATGTAAATAGTATGGTATTCCGATACCCTCCTCGCTCAGGCGGGGCCTCCCTGGAGGGGGGAGGGGCAGGGAAACCATGCACGCTCAAGGGGCACCATGTAAATAGTATGGTTTTCCGATACCCTCCTCGCTCAGGCGGGGCCTCCCTGGAGGGGTGGGAGGGGCACGAAACCATGTAAATAGTATGGTTTTCCGATACCCTCCTCGCTCAGGCGGGGCCTCCCTGGAGGTGTGGGAGGGGCACGAAACCATGTAAATAGTATGGTTTTCCGATACCCTCCTCGCTCAGGCGGGGCCTCCCTGGAGGGGTGGGAGGGGCACGAAACCATGTAAATAGTATGGTATTCCGATACCCTCCTCGCTCAGGCTGGGCCTCCCTGGAGGGGTGGGAGGGGCACGAAACCATGTAAATAGTATGGTTTCCGATACCCTCCTCGCTCAGGCGGGGCCTCCCTGGAGGGGTGGGAGGGGCACGAAACCATGTAAATAGTATGGTTTTCCGATACCCTCCTCGCTCAGGCGGGGCCTCCGTGGAGGTGTGGGAGGGGCACGAAACCATGTAAGTAGTATGGTTTTCGGTATGGAATGGTATGGTAGGTATGGTATGGTACGGTATGGTATGATATGGTATGGTATGGTACTGGAGGTATGGTATGGTATGGTACGGTGTGGCATTGGTGTGATATGGTATGGTATGCTATGGTACGCCATGGTATGGTATGGTACGGTATGGTACGTATGGTGTGGTATGGTATGGTATGGTATGGTATGGTATGTGTGGTAGGAACTATGGTATGGTATGGTGTGTGTGGTAGGAATGATATTGTGCTGTATGGAAGATGGAGCGGGAGGTGGGTGGGAAGGAGAGGGTGTTCTGGGGAAATTATGCTAACGGAGTTCCCCCACATAAAATATATTAACGGTCTCGTGGGACCCATGGGGTACGACAACATCAACCCGAAGGAGAAGGTGGAGAGGTGGGGCCTCCCTGGGGAGGTGGGAAGGGCACGAAACCATGTAAATAGTATGGGTTTCCGATACACTCCTCGCTCAGGCGGGGCCTCCCTGGAGGTGTGGGAGGGGCACGAAACCATGTAAATAATATGGTATTACGATACCCTCCTCGCTCAGGCGGGGCCTCCCTGGAGGTGTGGGAGGGGCACGAAACCATGTAAGTAGTATGGTTTTCCGATACCCTCCTCGCTCAGGCGGGGCCTCACCTGCCGAGGGGTGGGAGGGGCACGAAACCATGTAAATAGTATGGTTTTCCGATACCCTCCTCGCTCAGGCGGGGCCTCCCTGGAGGGTGGGAGGGGCACGAAACCATGTAAATAGTATGGTTTTCGGATACCCTCCTCGCTCAGGCGGGGCCTCCCTGGAGGGTGGGAGGGGCACGAAACCATGTAAATAGTATGGTTTTCGGATACCCTCCTCGCTCAGGCGGGGCCTCCCTGGAGGGGTGGGAGGGGCACGAAACCATGTAAATAGTATGGTTTTCCGATACCCTCCTCGCTCAGGCGGGGCCTCCCTGGAGGGGTGGGAGGGGCACGAAACCATGTAAATAGTATGGTTTTCCGATACCCTCCTCGCTCAGGCGGGGCCTCCCTGGAGGGGTGGGAGGGGCACGAAACCATGTAAATAGTATGGTTTCCGATACCCTCCTCGCTCAGGCGGGGCCTCCCTGGAGATGGGAGGAGGGGTGGGAGGGGCACGAAACCATGTAAATAGTATGGTTTTCCGATACCCTCCTCGCTCAGGCGGGGCCTCAGGCGGGGCCTGGGAGGGGCACGGCCGATACCCTCCTCGCTCAGGCGGGGCCTCCCTGGAGGGGTGGGAGGGGCACGAAACCATGTAAATAGTATGGTTTTCCGATACCCTCCTCGCTCAGGCGGGGCCTCCCTGGAGGGGTGGGAGGGGCACGAAACCATGTAAATAGTATGGTTTTCCGATACCCTCCTCGCTCAGGCGGGGCCTCCCTGCAGGGGTGGGAGGGGCACGAAACCATGTAAATAGTATGGTTTTCCGATACCCTCCTCGCTCAGGCGGGGCCTCCCTGGAGGGGTGGGAGGGGCACGAAACCATGTAAATAGTATGGTTTTCCGATACCCTCCTCGCTCAGGCGGGGCCTCCCTGGAGGGGTGGGAGGGGCACGAAACCATGTAAGTAGTATGGTTTTCGGTATGGAGTGGTATGGAATGGTATGGTAGGTATGGTATGGTACGGTATGGTATGATATGGTATGGTATGGTACTGGAGGTATGGTATGGTATGGTACGGTGTGGCATTGGTGTGATATGGTATGGTATGCTATGGTACGCCATGGTATGGTATGGTACGGTATGGTACGTATGGTGTGGTATGGTATGGTATGGTATGGTATGGTATGTGTGGTAGGAACTATGGTTAGGAATAATATTGTGCTGGATGGAAGATGGAGCGGGAGGTGGGTGGGAAGGAGAGGGTGTTCTGGGAAAACAAGAACCCCACTCAGGATGTGGGGAACAAGAACCCCACTCAGGATGTGGGGAAATACCCCAAGCATGCCCCAAAACGGTCAAACCATGCTCAAAAAAGGGTCCCCAGACTAGTGTTGGACTATTGTTTGATATCATGTTTGGGGTATCTTTTATTTTCCGTCGAGAATCCCCCTGCATGGGGACAGGCCCGACTCAATGCCAGACTCTCGGATCACGGGCCCACCCCCGCAGAACGAATGATCCGAACGCCTGGGTGCAAGCGCTGGCTCGAGAAAGGAGGCGACTTGAACTCCCCCCCCCTCCCTCGACGCCCCCCCGTCCTGGCCTTGTCCTCCTTCTTGATGTCCTTCATCGCCTGCTGCCTGGCCGCCTTCCGCTTCGCCCTCCAGGCGGCCTTCTCCTCGTCGACCTCCTCGTCCTGCTGCGCGGCTGGAGGGAGCGCTTCGCTGCACACGGACGACCTCTCGGAAGGCGGGAGGGCTACCGAGACGTCCCGCCGCCTTCTGAGAAGGCCTCCTCCTTCCCGGTTCCCCCCCCCCCCCTCGCTCGCCGCAGACCCTCCTCGCATCCTCCGCTCACCGCTTCAGCCCCCTCGCTCTGCCCCGGCAGCCTCCTCGCTCGTCGACGCCCTCTGCGTCCCTGCCGCTGCTCCGCAGATCATCCATCTCGTCCCCCCGTCCCCCAGCCCCAACACTTCTCTGTACTGGGCCTTTCCCCGTCCTTATCGTCGTCCCCCTTCTCCCTTTCCTGACGCTCCAGTCTTCCCCGTCCTCGGACCTCCACCCTCCTCCTCCTCCTGCCTGTTCGACTTTTCCTGCTCCTCCTTCGCCCGTCTCTTCCTGCTGACCCCCCTGTTAGCATCGCGTCTGCTCCGCCACGCCCTCACCCTTCTCATCCTCTCCAGCGGTACACGGGGGAGGGAGCCGATGTAATGGGCGAAGAGTTATGTCGGGCGTGTCCCCCCACGGAGAGATTTTCGACGAAAAAAACACTCCCCAAAAACACCAAAAAGGCCAAAACATATTCAAAAATAGTCCCCAGACTATTTTGGATTATTGTTGGGGTATGTTTCAATTTTTCGTCGAAAATCCCCCTGCAGGGGGACAGGCCCGACTTGAGCGACGAGAGAAGTGGCAAAGGAAGGCGGACGTCATAATTCTGGCGGGGTCGGGCGGAGGAGGGCAGGAGCGGGGGATGACGGACGGAATAGCCACCCTCCACTGCGCGCCCCCGTGCGCATACCAAAGACAGCCCAAGACCGGCATGTGGCAAATGATGTCCGCCACCGCGCCGCACGCACTGGGTGAAGCCTCCTCGGTACCGTGAGGGAGCTCTCTGTACCGAGCCCTGTGGTAGTCTTCCAAAAAGGTCCAGGGGCCCAAGAGACGGACTTCCCGGGGCGGCCTCTCGCGGGAACCCCCACGGGTCAACACCGTGCGCTCCCCACGGACAAGGACGAGGGCACCAAGACGGGCGAAGACGGTCCCAATAGCCTCCCCCCCGAGCCCATCCAAGATGCCCGCGCTTCGGCCAACCAGCGCCGCGCGGCGCCCAAGACATGCCCCTCAGGCTGGCCACGAGGCCCCCAAGACGGCCCAAGACACCTTCAAGGCAGCCCAATGGAGCCCCAAGGGCGATTCCAAGATTCGGCGGCGACGATAGGGGCGAATAGCCCAGGGGCGGGCATTACTACACGTATTTGCACGCTTTCGCCCGGGAGCCTCTTCGAAGACACAGGTCATCGGCGCACCTGAATACATGGATTGCTCTCCCCTGGGCTATTCGCCCCCATCGTCGCCTCTGAAAGATGGCCCCAAGAGTGGCCCAAGAGACCTTCAAGAGTGGCGTGCAGCGCCACCCGGCGGGCCCCAACGACGGCCCAGAGGGGCAGGCAACATGGCCTCCGCAGGCCAACGGGCCCCCTCCGAGGCCCCCAAGGGGCTCCCAGGAGACCCCAAGAGGCCCCATCCGAGGCCCCCAAGGGACCCCCCAGGAAGTCCCCCAGGAGGGCAGGAGGTCTCCTCCGATCCCTCCTCCTCCTCCTCTTGATCCCTCCCTCTCCTCCTCCGCTCTCCTCATTCCGCAAGTGCTGCCCCCCCCCAAGGGTGTCCACAACGGCTGGGAGAGCACAAGGTACAGTAGCTCAGCAAAGCGTTGGCCCAAAGTTTGGCCAGGTGAGAGCGTTTCCAGGCGTGCTTGGAAATGCGTGCCATATGGTTAGCAGGATTGCGACTTCGAATGGTCGCTGCATCTGGTTTACCGACTGCTGCTTCTGACCAATAAACACGGCTTGCTATGGGCATAAGTACACCTATATACTTATGATGCTGTGTGACGTGTGAGCGCGTGGTGTAAAACATTAGCGTGTGCAATGAATCCAGATGCCCGTGTACGAATTCACAACACCTTTACACTCTACGTACGCACGCAAAAGGGGTGAGGACGAGGAGGGTGAGGAGCATAGAAGGCAAACCAATTCAGCCCATAATAATCACCCTGGCACGCGAAGTCGTTTAGCAAACACGCCCAAAGAAGGAATCGAACAGGGCAGGGCTGTGTAGTAAACGCCCAAGGCCGTTTAGTAAACGCCAATTGTCTGGTCCGTGTGGTTTTTCCTCCCTGGAGAGGAGGAAGACAAAGACGAGGATGAACAAAAGGACGGACGGACCCTCAGGAAATCTGGGCCCCTTCCCAAGGGCCGGCCGGCTTCTCGTCCGCGACGCTTGGCGACAATAGCCAGGGCCCTGTAAATGCCCCCAGACACTGCACATTGCTACACACCGTCCGTAATCCTGTTGTTGTTGTTGTTGTTGTTGTTGTTGTTGTTGAACATTATTACTTCTAAAGAATAATTATTGTTGGGACCCCTGGTGCACGACCCCCCCGCTGCGCCTAGGCCGCAGCCACATTTTCATCATTTTCGTGAGGAAGTCTCAGGCAAAACGGGTTGGTCCGGATCCGGTTGTTTTGTTACGGCCCGCTTTCCCTTGCAAAAAACAGGCTAAAGTGGACATTTCTTGTTCTAACATAACCAAACTTCAAGAATCCCTTGCAAAAAATAAAGTAAAGTGGACATTCGCGCGCGCAAGACGAAATCCTTCCAAAACCTTAGTGTTCGTAGCGATTTTAACATAAAAACATCAAAAAACCAATGGTTTTTCAACAAAAAAAATGTCAAAATTCATCCCGCGCGCTCTTGCGGATTCGTAGGAAACCCAACACTTTTTAAACATTTCTGTCAAACGGGCTTTTGCGAGCAACTTTTTCGAACTTCTGCGACAACGGTTGCGCACCTGCCAGGGCCATCATCCCTGTCAAATAATACCATGCGGGACACATTCGTTTTTTCTTCGCGCGCGCACGCCGTCGTCGTCGGCCGCGGGGCCCTGAATAGTAGCCACGGTCGTCCGCATGCCACGAAGTGAAGTGTCCGAACGTCATAGGGCGGGAAGCTGGGTGTGGGTGGTGGCGAAGAGTCGTTTGGAAATTTGGTAGAGCTTGAACCGGCCCCCCCACAAAGTGGGGGTATTGCCCGCCTCCTATGAAAACCCTGGCACTGGTGAGAACGGAGTGTCCCCACGTGCTAGTAATTGTTGTTGTTGTTGTTGTTGTTGTTGTTAATGTTGTTGTTGTTGTTGTTGTTGTTGTTGTTGTTGTTGTTGTTGTTGTTGTTGTTGTTGTTGTTGTTGTTGTTGTTGTTGAATATTCATTTCTACGGAATGGTTGTTGTTGATCTCCGGAAACGGTTCCGGGCGCTCTCGACTCGACGCCGGCTACATTTTCTGGAAAAACAAGGCTCCCGCTCGAGCGTTGGCTTGACCCTAAAAGTGCGCCCTTGGAGGCCCAGCTACGACAACAACGGCTCCCGCTCGATACTTCCTCACAATTTACCTCGAGACACCCTGGCCAGAGAGGCCCCGAAATCAGGAATGGCGCTCTCGCTCGAGACTTTCTCCTGATTCAGTCGAATTTGTGGAGGCCCAAATGCGACGGCAAGGGCTCTCGATCGATACTTCCTCAAGATGTATTCGCAGAGACCCTTGCCAGAGAGGCCCCCGAAATCAAGAGTGGCGCTCTCGCTCGAGACGCCCTCGTCATTCAGTCAATTTGGTATGGGCCAAGCCGCGACGACAAGGGCTCTGCCCACAGGGGCCCCAGCCCACAGAGGCCAAGCGCGCACGCAGAAGTCCCAGCGCGCTGCCCATTGAGGCCCCCCAACACAGCCCACAGAGGCCCCAAGGGCGCCCACAGAGGCCCCAGCCCGCAAAGGTCCCGAGCGCGCCCACAGAGGCTCCAGCGCACTGCCCACTGAGGCTCCCGACGCAGCCCACAGAGGCCCCAGCCCACAGAGGCCCCAAGCGAGCCCACGGAGGCCCCCGCGCGCTGCCCACCGAGTCCTCCGGCACAGCCCACAAAGGCCCCAAGGGCGCCCACAGAGGCCCCAGCCCACAGAGGCCCCAAGCGCGCCCACAGAGGCCGCCGCGCGCTGCCCACTGAGGCCCCCGACGCAGCCCACAGAGGCACCAAACGCGCCCAGAGAGGCTCCAGTCCGCAGAAGCCCCAAGCGCGCCCACAGAGGCCCCGGCGCGCTGTCCACTGAGGGCCCCCGACGCAGCCCACAGAGGCCCCAGCCCACAGAGGCCTCAAGCGCGCCCGCAGAGGCCCCAGCGCGCTGCCCACTGAGGCCCCCCGACGCAGCCCACAAAGGTCCCAAGTACGCCCACATAGGCCCCAGCCCGCAGAGGCCCCAGGAACGGCGCTCAAGCATGAGACTTCTTCGCAATTCAATCAAGTTCGCGGATGCCCAGCCGCGACGACAAGGCTCCCGCTCGATATTTCTTCGCGATTTACTCCGGGAGGTCCTGGCCAGAGAGATTCCCGAACTCAAAAACAGCGCTCTCGCTGGAGAATTCCTGGCAACTCAGTCAAATTAATGGGGGCGCAGCCGCGATGACAAGGGCTCCCGCTCGATGCTTCCTCGCGATTTGCTCCGAGAGGCCATTTCTCGTGGTCCATCCTTCTCTTCCCCCATGCGTCCCCCCTTCCCCTGTTTTAGGGGCTGCGCTAAGTGTGCGTGGCAGGCAAGGAAGATATACCCCCGAGGGGGTACGGCCGAAGACAAAGAGGGCGGGTATCGAGGGTTTGGGATATACGCGTTGCGTGGCACGCGATCAAAAAAGAACAAACACTCTTAACATTATTATTGTTGTTATTGTTGTTGATGTTGTTGTCGTTGTTGTTGTTAACAGTGTTGTTGTCATTGTTGATGAACTCTCACAACTGAAAATGATTATAGTTGATCCCCCTCAGGTGCATATTCTATGTTTTCAATTGATGTGCCCCTCCCGGTGCTCGACCCCGGTTCATTATAAAAGGAAAATATTCCTCCTCAAACTGTGCCCCTGGCGCCGGGTTTACAACAACCGCTCCCGCTTGAGACTTCCTCGCAATTTGCTCAAGAATCGCGCTCCCGCCTGAGATCCTCCGATTGACTCAGGCGCCGCGCTCTTGCCATTCAGGAATCGCTGTGTTCGCTGGGGACTTCCTTAAAGTCACTTAGGAATCGCTCTCTCGCTGGAAACTTCTTGGCTCATCACGCAGAACTCACGATCGATCCGCCCGCTCGGCCCGCCCATCAGGGTCATGCCCGTCGTGCCCCATGCTCGCTCGCGCCCTTTGTGCCTCATTGCTGCCCTTCGTGGCCCCTCCCCTTGAGGCCCAGTCGCTGCCCTTCGTGGCCCCGATGCTGCCCTCAGTGGCCCCTCGCTGCCCTTTGTGGCCCATATATACGCCCCTCGTGGCCCCCAGTCGCTCGTGCCCTCAGTGGCCCCCTGGCCCCAGAGGCCCTTCATTCTCGTAGTCGTCGTTCGTTCTCAAAGGATGGTACATGGCACAACTCATGGCGCAACCGATGCGAAACCCATTGCTAACTTATGTTGCAATCTCGTGTTCAAGCCATGGCGCAAAGTGACTCGCAACTTGTGACGCCCGCCCGATCCGACAGTCGGGGTCCGCCCGCCACCCGCCCGTCTAGCTCAACCGCTTATTTTCCTGCTCTTAGCCGGCCTCCTGTCAATCCCAATCGTGCTTCATCCTTTTCCTCCAGGTATCTCTACTCTCTCTCTCTCTCTCTCTCTCTTCGGTCCTGTCTCCCCTCTTTCCCTGTTGTAAGGGCTGCGCCGCGCCAACTACACGTGCCAGGTAGTGGAGATGTACCCGCACGCTCTCGCCTGAGACTTCCCCACAATTCATTCAGGACTCACGCTTTGATCCGCCCGCCAGACCCGCCCGTTAGGGCCGCCCGCCTGACTTGCCTGTGACGGCAGCCCCAGCGGCTCGCTTGGAGGACTTGCCGGGTGCTTTCACGTCCCGCACACCCGACCCGCCCGTTAGGGTCCGCCCGCGGATCTGCAGGCCCCGCCCGCCCGACCCGCCCGTTGGGGACCGTTGCTCGACCCAACCGTCCGGGTCTGCCGCTTGTTTTCTGGATCCTCTCTTAAGCCGCCCACCTTCTAATCTCTCTCGTCCGCAGTTCCGCTCCTTCCCTCTGGTCCCTTGCCTCCCTCCCTTCCCCCACTCCTTTCCTCCTCGCTTTCTCTCACTCTCTCTCTCTCTCTCGCTCTCTCCCTCTCTCTTTCTGTCGCTCTCTCTCTCTCTCTCTTTCTCTCTCTCTTTCTCTCTCTCTCTCTCTTTCCCTCTCTCTTTCCTTTCTCACACCTCTTGCTCTTTTAGGGGCTGCGCCCAATACACGTGGCAGGTCACGAAGACGTACCCCCCAGAGGGGGTACGATCGAAGACGAAGAGCGCGGGTGTCGGGGGTTTGGGACATACGTGGTGAGGTACGCGCGAGCAGATAAGAGCGAGCAGTCTCAAACTGGTTGTTGTTGATGTTGTTGTTGTTGTTGTTGTTGTTGATGCTCTTATTATTGTTGTCGCGACTCGAAGGGTCTGGGCCCAGGGGTTCAAAGTCGCCCCCCGGACCTGAGCCCCGGGGCGCGCGGCGACGAGGAGCCTCTCCAGGATGCCACCCCAAAAAGGCAGCAGAAAAAAGCGCGGCCGCACCTCGAAACCCTCGAGCCGGGGGGGCCCCTCCTCCAACGGGTGGGGCGGCCCCTCGCAGGCCTGGAGATTGACACCAACACCAACATCGGCGCTTTGCCTCCAGCGAGGGAAGAAAGATCCCGATCTCGGCGATGGTGGTAATACATTCTGGCGTCCAAGGCGGCCGAGCTATGACCACCAACACCGAGAATCTAGGATCACCTTCCCCCTGTGGAGGCAACCCCCTGTCTTGGTGTTGGTGCCATTTTCCAGGCCCCCGAGCCCGGGCGCTCCTCGGCCTTCTGCTTCGGCAGCGCCTCCTTGCAGCCAGCTCCGAGCGCCTCCGGCTTGGTCCACTGCGTGAGGCACGTCCGCCGGGCGAGAGCGCCCCCGCTCGGGAGGCGGGCGTGCCCTCACCTTGCCCTCTTCCCCCTAACCCTCCTCCCCCTCCCCCTCACCCCCCCCCTGCCTCTCCTCCTCCTCCTCCTCCTCCTCCTCCTCCTCCTCCTCCCCCCTCCTCCCCTCCTCCTCCTCCTCCTCCTCCTCCTCCTCCTCCTCCTCCTCCCCCTCCTCCGCCTCCTCCTCCTCCTCCTCCTCCTCCTCCTCTTCCTCTTCCTCTTCCTCTTCCTCCTCCTCCTCCTCCTCCTCCTCCTCCTCCTCCTCCTCCTCCTCCTCCTCCTCCTCCTCCTCCCTCCTCCTCCTCCTCCTCCTCCTCCTCCTCCTCCCTCTCCCCCATTCCTCCCTCTCTCTCCCTCGGAGGGGAGGGGCACGGGGAATGTCGGTGGTCTCCTCCGTCATCCGTTTCTGCGGAACATGCTGGAGAGGGTACGCATACACACGCGTCGTGGGGGTCGAGCTTCGGCAACGCTGGAGAAATCCCATACTGGGCGAGAAGGGAGAAGACGAGGAGGAGGAAACGGACGATCCCGTGCCTTGGGGAAGAGAGCGTCATCCCGCCGCTGCATGGGCACAGCGCGCTGCCCGCGGCTCCCGCGGGGGTGGCCCTCAGAGCCTCAAGCTCGTCGTCGACGGAGACGTAGCAGACGGGGCTGTCGTCGGAGACGACTTGGGATGCCCCGTCGTCGGCGTCCAGCAGATTGGGAGCTTTTGGAATGGATGAATCTGGCAAGGCGCCAGGCAGGTGGAGCTCGATGCAATATAGGGTGTGGGGTGGCGCGGAGTCCGAATCTCCAGCCACCCCCCATGGGAGTGAGAGGCCTCCATTGTTTTTGCACTCCAACCACAGGAGAATCCTCGTGCACAGATCCCACCACCGCCTCACCATCACCTTGCATGACAGGAGCCTCACGATGATCCGCACGATCGCATGGAGGTTCACGACCCGAGGGTTGAAGAACTTCTCCGTGATGCCACTGCAGAATCGCAACATGTTCGGGGATGGTCGCCATCCTTGGCGGCGCCATGAGTCGATGCGGTCTCCGGCCGCGCAGCCTCTCATATGCGGCGCATCGCCTGGCGAAATCACCTTACCTCGCGCTGCCGGCCTGGTTGTTGATGGCCTCCATCAACGCGGTCCCCTGTCTCCGTGGTCGACCAAGCCTCGGACCAAAGATCTTCGGCGAATGCGTTCCGCATGTCCGCAAGCAGTTCGTCGCTAGCCCCAACGAACAAATGACCGCCCTCGGGCCTCATAAGTTACTTGACTGTGAACGGCGCGCACCATTCCATCCAGTGCTGGAACAAGCCCACGTGCTCGTCCTGATAGAAGAGGCGCGTGACGGCCTTCGATGTTCGACACCGTTGCGGGATCAACTGGCAAGCGTCGCCGCGCATCCGTCCGCATGATGGTGCGACGGAGTAGGCATCGACGCCGCTTTCCGGTTCACCAGGGATCATGGCGAAATTGGTTCCAGGAGCGAACATGGCAGCATCATTCTCGATCCAAACAAAGAAGCGGCTGGCAGATGCCGCCCTGGAACGAAGATCGCCGTGCGAGAACTTGACCGCCAGGGAGCCCCCGATCGTCGGATTCCGACGGTTCGGAGCCATCGAGATCGAGCGGCGGGTTGAGCCTCTCAGTATTCTGAAGCACCAACGGAACACGCACACAAGGTTTCGGAGCTGGGCGCGGCGGGCCACGAGGATTACGGAGTCGCGATATAGGCAGGGGAACCTCGTGGGATGTGGCATGGTTCGCCCCTCCTTGCGTGGTCTTCTGTCTTGGAAAGCCATCGCATGAAGTTCGCCTGCCCGATGCCAAGCCGCGCGGCGAAGATTCGATGCGGCCCCCATGAGTGGGATGCGTGCTCGGGCCGTCCTCGCCCAGAACGCTTCGCAAATACCCCAAGCCTTTAACCAAATGGCGCCAGCCAGGCGGATTGGAGGCGCTGTCATCCTCGACTGCGGCTCGATGAGATGCGGCATGTTCCGCATAGCCTTTGGCACGTTTGAAAGCTCGCCGTGCTTCGTCGCCGCCCGGCTCGCGAAGGTCTGCCCCCGGCGGTGTGCTCGTCACTATCTTAGAAGTGACGCGGATGCGCAGAGAGCCCAACGCAGCGCCGTCAGGAAGCAGATGTGTGAGCGCGCCAGAGAAATTGCACTGCATCAAGCTGGTGTCCACCGTCGCCTCGGCCACGTGGCCGCGCTCGTTGTCTTGACCATCGGGTCGGTCTCCATCAGCATCAGCAGATATAGTGCCAGCGGTGGGCGAATCAGCATGACCAGGACAAGGCGGTCGATCATCATGGGTCACATTCTGCATGACCTCCACCGCCGCGCTCCCGTCGATCATGTCTGCAAGGCTGCCAGGCCCAAGCTCGCCCTCCCATCGACGACAGCGAATGGCGCTGAGGAGCGGATGTGTCGCGGCAAATTGGCTAGATAACGCCCGAGAGGCCGAGGGGCACGGTTCCTCTCCCATACTATTAATGCCAACATCCGTGGGCGACGGGAAGAACCCGTCGTGAACCGCAAGCCTGTGTGCATCAAGACCAAGCGTCCCAGAATCCCCATCGCAATCCCCGTCGAGAGGAGGAAAATCAGCACCTTGCTGTCTTGCGAGCTGGATCATGGCAAAGGAGGGCCGCGAAGAAGGGAAACGCAAACAATACATCATGTCTGTCCCGTCTAAACTGCCATACGACGAGGATTGGCTTGCCAGCGCCTAATCCACAATTTCTCGCAAACGAGTGAGAATGCAATCTGCCGTCTCTCGTTCTCTCTCTGGCGAAGCTCACGTTATCCGTTGCCGTGGGTATTCACGCCCTTCTGCAGAAGAGGTAGCAAGCCTCATCGCGCAAGTTCCTCGCAAACATTTCGCCCGGACGAGCGCGCCGTTTCGGATCAGTGCTGACCAACCCCATCGAAGACATCATATCGAAGAGGATACTGCGCACACCAGCCCCTCCAATCCACAAAGTCCGACCTATGGAAATTGGCGAAGGATACCGTGGGGAACCATCCGCGCGCCCATGCACCCGCGCGCTGCAGAAGCGCTTGCTGAGCTTGGAAAGCGCGTCCAATGTCGATCGACTACGATACCATGTCCCTACAAGCCTCGTCAAAAATAAACAGAAACGCAGTTGGAAATCACGACGATCGATCTTCTCGGGCACTTGTTAGAAACTGCGTTCTTCAATGCTGCGGAGGGGTCGTCGGATGTTTGAAGCCCTTGCGTCCACGTCAGATATTTAGCGTCAGCATTGGAGTAGCGCTGACCATACAATCACCGAATACAGAATCCCTGTTTATTTTTGACGAGGGTTGTAGGAGCACCACACGTTGGCAAGTGACAGACGGGCGCGGACATGCCGCCACTGCCAAGCACCAGACCCATCATAGGCCCAGGTGCTTCCGGCGAAGGGTCCGGGAGAGATAGGTGCCTCGTCACCACCAGCAGGTTGACCTTCTGCAATATCGTGGATGCCCATCGTCGTTGCAGCATCGAACGCATCGAACAAAGAGGTTCCGTCGTCGTGGAGCAACTCCTCATGCTCCTTCACGTTGTCATGCAAGCTGGGATAGATTTACCTATTAACCTTGCGTCCCTTGAGCATTGACTTGCGTAGGCGACAACCAACTCCCATCAAGCGCATCAACCTCATCACCTGCACGACGTGGTCCAAGGGTAGCTCAACGGAGACCTTCACCATCAACAAGAGGGTGGCCGATCTACCGTGACAGGACCAGGGTTGCAATCTGATTACACAAGACCTTGCTCACGGCTGCTGTTGCACATCGTCAGGTGGAAGTACGATGGAAAAGCCATGCGCAGCTAAGTGCATTTGAACGCGGCCAGTGTCTCTAGAACCTCCTCGCCTCCAGGGATAGGTGGGGCATCTCAACCCTCATCGTTGCTGACCGTTGACAAGACATCTTCCAAATCCTCTTCCACCACGTCTTCATCTTCACCGTCACCGTCAGGAGGAGGAGGAGGAGAAGGAAAGGAGGAAGAGAAGGACGAGAAACCGCAAGCGCACCGACTTTCAGACAGTTGCCTGGGTCGCCTGCGCTCACGGGCCCGCGCGAGCACTGCTTCCAACGGGGTGGAACAAATACACACTGTCCCTCACGGTGGGCCCGATCACCGCGACCTGGAGAAAATCGAACCCCAGTCTCACGGCGACCGCCGAATGTCTCACGTACACAGCACTCCTGCGTTCAGTGCTCTACTCAGAGGTTCGACGACGAAACGTTGCGCGCGAGCGTGTGATTGTGCGGAGGGAGGCGGAGACAGCAGCGAAAGAGAGGGCGGAAACAATGAGGAACCCGTGCGTGCGTAATTACACTTACCAGGCACGGCCGGCGGTACTCGCACAGTCCAAACTCTTGCCTCACGGGCAAAACGCACCCCTGGCATCACCGGCACGACGGAGGCCAGGAGTACGGCCCATACACCGACGGTGCGGACGAGCCACGCAACGGTTCAGCGCAGCACGTCCTGGACTGCGGCGGATGAATGCCCAGCTGCAACTTAGGAGCAGAAATCTATACACCGACGCACTTCCGGCCCCGCACTGAAACTCGCACAAGGAAGCGGATGCTGGCGTATACGGGCACCTGGTGTATACATGTTCCATCGTTTCCCTGGGATTGAGAAACAGCCAGCCATTGGCAATGTATGTGATCCAGGTCCCAGGCCCCCCACCCACCACCATGCTGATGGTATTGGGCCCCCCCCCGCCGATGGGCCTGGGCCCCGGCCCCCCCCCTGTGTGGAGGAGGAGGAGGAGGAGGAGGAGGAGCAGGAGCAGGAGGAGGAGGAGGAGGAGGAGGAGGAAGAGGAGGAGGGGTGTGGTGTGGCCTGGCCCCCCATCTCTGCGGGCCTGCTCCCCCCCCCCCGGTCGACGACGGCGGCGACGACGACGGCGGCGACAGCGACGACGACAACGGCGGCGACGACGACGACGACGACGACGACAGCGACGGCGACGGCGACGGCGACGGCGACGGCGACGGCGACGGCGACGGCGACGACGACGACGACGACGACGACGGTGGCGACGACGGCGACGACGACGACGGCGGCGACGTCGTCCCCCCCCATCCCATCTGGGGGTGGGGGTGGGGGGGGGCCCGCCGAGTCTTGGGACCCATCCCATCTGGGGAAGGGGGCCGCCGGGCCGGGAGCCGGGATCATACACGCTCCAGTTTCCGAGAATGCTCAACGACTGCGGGGCCCAACACTGAGCGCCTCCCTGACGGCGGCGTGCCAGCCGACCAGACAACCCACGCGAGGCATTGCTCGAGCGGTCCCGTCAGGCAGAACTGCGAGGCGGGGATTTGTCCATATCCACCGCCTGGGAACCGACGTCCTGGTGCCGCAGCGGGCGGTGGAAGTTGAAGCACCCTGGAGGCCCGAATAGTCTGGAAAACTTAGAAGCACTTGGATCTTTAACCCTCCTGATCCTCGAGTGGGCCCGCGCGAGGTGGGCGTCGTGCACAAGCACGAGTCCGACCTCGCGGAAGCTTCCCGCGAAAGGTCGCAGGACTCGCTTCCAGGCGGTGTTCCGCGTTGGCCCACGAGGGCCCGAATCTATCCATGAAGATTGATCCCCCATGCGGTGCAGATGGATAAGTCCTGGCCTCGGAAGAACTCCTGCGCATCCCAGGAGGTGAAAGAGACTCAGATGACGAGAAGGCCCCGGTCCCGAAGCCTCCATCCGGACAGATCGCCCCCCCCATCATCTGGGCCCGCCTTCTCCCTTCGGCCCCTCCTCTTCCGTTCCCTCATCAGGATGAGGAGGCGGAGGACCGTCGTCTTGGCCCCTTGAGTGGCCAGAGCCAAGACGCCCATCGTGCTGGTTCCGAACAGTCGAGCTTTCAAGCATTGCCGATGGCCCGTCTTTCCTCCTCCCTCGTGCTCATCCCCGTTCTCCCTCCTGCTCACCCTGAGGCGGCCATGCCTTCAGAGTCCGAAAGCCGCCTTGGGGAGGCACCAGCCGATCGAATCATTATGTCGCCTCCGTAGAAGTCGCTTGAGCAGTGCTCCTTCGTGGGAGGAGAGGGGGGAGAGAAATGAGTAGCATGAGCGGAGAACGGCATGGCGACAGCAGGACAACCGCACGGGACAACCGTGGAACGACCTCGGGGAGCGGTCTCCTTCTCCCTCTTCTCCCTCTCATCACTCCCTGCCCCCCCCCCCTCCGCATACCTTGTCCTCCAAGCCGCCGTCCCGGCTCGAGGGGCTTCGGGCGCTGCTATGAGGCCGCCGCGGGCCTCCCCGCGGGACAAAGCCATGCGCCGTGTCGGCCCGCCGCACTTGGGCTGCCGCGGGCGCGGCCGTGGCGTGCTGAGCTCTGGCCACGCGGACCTCCCCGAGGGTCGTCTACTGCAGTGGAGGCCAGCCCACAAGAAACCTTCCACGAGAAAGCCAACCCCGAGACCCCAGGACGTCCACTGATGTTTGGCGTGGGAGCGTAACGCTTTCCATCGCAACACCATCGAGGCCCCAGACACCCAGGGCACCCTGGAGGCAAGCAGGGTGTTTCCTGGCATGGGTTTCCGCTGTACGGCAAGATCAAGCAGGCCTGAGCCCGCCTGGCACCGCCGGGCCGGGTCCCAGCAGGCCCCAGCTTTGGTGCTGCTTAGGCCTTCGGCGGCCCGTCTCAGGCTGAGCAGGCCTCACTGCTCTAGACAGCCCCGCCAATGGCACAGTCAGAGAGGCAGCGATGCAGGCAGGGGCTGCAGGCAGCGAAGCTTCTCAGGGTGCAGGCTCATGGGCCTGCTCTCATCTTGCGGCACTCCGAATTGGTCGTCATCTCGCCCTTGTCTCTGGTCTCCCCCACAGCCAGGCCAACGCCAACCATGTCCCAGACTCCCACGAGGAGCAGCTAGCAACTAGCAGCACGGAGGCGCCGGTGGCAAGCGCCCAGCGGAGCAACCCACACCCAGCCAGGCCACGCCGCACAGCCCCATCATCATTCCGCCTGCTTCAGCTGTCGCGGCCAAAGATCGTCCCAGTTGGTCCGAGACACCATCAGATCCAGAAAAGCTCAAGACGCACCGCAACAAGGTCAAGATGACGATGGGCGCACTTGGGAAACGCATTGCCTGCTCCTGAACCATGGGCATTCAGCCCTCCCGTCGTATAGATATAGAGCTTGAAAGTCGGTGTTGTTGCACTTGTACATTCACGCGCAGTCAGCTCGGGACAGGGCCGCGAATCAGGAAAGGTACCTGGACGAAGGGGTCGGCTTCAATGGGCTATCGAGGAGGAGCACAAGGCCCGGTTGGGCCTCAGAATGCGCTGCACGCGGACGTCAAGCAGGCCGAGGATGTGCTGGCATCGTTCCAGGGACTTCAAGCAGCGCACGAGGCAGAGGCAGCGAGGATTCGAAAGCAGCAGGCGGACGTCGACGCCCTCATGACGAAGGCAGCAACGCCCACCTCAAGCAACCCGCAGTACTCCTCTTCTCCGTCCGCTCAGCCCAGCACCGCGTCTTCGCTTTCAGCCAGCAGCGCCCCCGCAGGTCTTTCCTGCAGCCTCGCCTGCCCCGCCGACCGCGCCGCCTCCCAGCTCGCGAGGGAAGCGGATGGCACCCACACCGCGGCGTGCTTTCGGGGGCCCACCTCGCAGTTCGCAGCCTTGCAGGGCACAGTGCAGCCAGTTGCGGCAGGGCTGCAGCAGACTCCTGCTGCTGCTGCTGCTAGGGCCCCGGCGCGGGTGCCGCCCCCAGCCGAGGCAGCGGGGCGCAGCGGAGGAATCGCTGCGGCTCTGGGGAAAGCAACAGGGTACCGATACCGCTACAGTACTCCACGGACCTCTCCTGGGGCGCGTTCTGACCAGAATTTCGAAGCGAATCCAGTCATGGCGACGAGGGCCTCCCAGGAGAGGCCCGAAAAGGCGGAACAGAGGCAAGTGTAGCGGTATCTATCGATACCTTCTCCTGCTCTGCGGCTCGTCGAGGATCCCAGGCGCCGGCGGGGCAGCCCTTAGCTGCAGCCACGTCCATCGCAGCAGCAGCTGCGGCCCTCCTCCCCCTCCTCCTCCTCCTCCTCCTCCTCCTCCTCCTCCTCATCCTCCTCCTCATCCTCCTCCTCCTCCTCCACCTCCACCTCCACCTCCTCCTCCTCCTGCCTTCTCCTCCTCCTCCTCCTCCTCTCCTCTCCTCCTCCTCCTCTCCTCCTCCTCTCCTCCACCTCCTCCTCCTCCTCCTCTTCTCCTCCTCCTCCTCCTCCACCACCTCCACCTCCCCCTCCTCCTCCTTCTCCTCCTCCTCCTCCTCCTCCTCCCCTCCTCTCCTCCTCCTCCTTCTCCTCCTCCTCCTCCTCCTCCTCCTCCTCCTCCTCCTCCCCCTCCTTCTCCCCCCCTCCTCCTCCCTCTCCTCCTCCCCCTCCGCCTCCTGGAGGCCTCCGTCCTGTTCTCGGAGCCCCATCTCCTCGGGGGCCGCAGCCTCCTCGACATCTCCCCCTCAGGCCGGTGCTCCGCCCGCAGGCGTCCGGCACATGCGCCGGAGGAGGCGGCGGGCCCTCCCACGGCCAAGGACGGGGATTTGCTGCCGGATATCTCGGAGGAAGAAAGATGGGCCGCTCAAGCCTTCCATGCAAGCGATCGGGGGGGGGTCCGGCGGCAAGGGCGAAACCCTCCACAACAGGTAATCCTAAGCCGTCGGAAGTCCGCGTGGATTTCACGGGTCGGCTCTGGATCGCCCTCCTCTGCCGCGCGAAGCGCGCTGGTGGCGGCGCTGGTGGCGGCGCTGGAGGCGCCGCGAGGGGGATGCAGTGCCGACAGAAGACGTCCGCGAGGACCTCCGACAGACTTCTCTGGGGTCAGTCCGAGCTATGCGAGAGCGGCAGCGGTGATGACGAGGGCTTTGGTGGCGCTGATGGTGAGGCAGGGGTGAGGGTAACTGAAGAGGCCCTGGGACACACAAATAAATAGACACAAAAAACAGGAATCCCCAATTTTCTCCATAGTTTCTGGGGTTCTGTCTTCCCCCCCACTTCCCATCGTTTCTTATATTTTCTGGGGAGTCGACGATCAATTGTGTCTGTGTCTGTGTTTTTGTCCCCCTCCTGAGTAGTGTGGTGCCGAGAAGGGTTACAGATACGCGTCCTCAGCCCGCTCGAGCTCTTCCCATCGTCCTCACAGCCCATCGCCCTCCGAGTGCTTTCTCTGTGTGCCGCGCGCGGGTGGTAACTGTTCGGCAGATCGGCCAGCGTCCCCACTTCCTGGCTGGACGTCGAAGGAGCTGCAACCAATATGAGCTTTGTATTGCTCCCATCGTACTTAAGGGCCACATCCCATAAATGATTTCGAGCACCCGGAAAAGTGTCGGAAGAGTGTTGAAACAGTGTCCGAAGAGTGTCTGCAGCAGGTTGGAACATCATAATATGAGCTCAGCGTTTGCTTCGCGCCCATTCGACAAGAGTTCCCGACCTCCTCCTCTCTGCAGAACTCTGGAGGGTTGTCTGCCCCCCTGGACGGCCAACTATAACTGCCACCAGACGCGGAGCGACGGTGTGCCGTCACACAAGTGGCGCGCTTCTGCAAAAGACCGCATGCACCCGAACAAAGTAGTGCTGATAACGCTACTTCCCGGACCTCTCCTGGGGTGTCTTGCCTTCTGACAAAGGTTCCTAGGCGAATCCAGCCGTGGCGAGTGGAAACGAGGGCGCCCCCGAAGACCCAGAAAGACGGACACGGTGGAATGGTAGCAATATCGGTTCTTGCTCCTCCTCTGACTATCGCACCCACTTCCCCCTCCTCCTCATGATCGAAAGGACCCGCGCACCTCGATCTCCGCGCTGCAGACGTCGTTGATCTTCATGAAGGCCTGGTGAGGAAGGCGCGCTGCTGCACAACGGAAGACACTGTTCCACAAGTCTGTCTGGCAGCCGCCCGTCCCGCGTCTGTCCGTATCCGCCACTGCGGCATGCACATTGTTTGCCCATCCCGCGGCCGCGACTCGCATCCTCTCCAACTTTGCGTGTGCCGGTCCCCTTTCTTGGAACCCCGACCGCCAAACTCCCGATGTTCCTCTGCGGTCGCAACTCACTCTCCTCGCGAGGAGGAGGAGGAGGAGGCTCCTCCCCCTCCTCTTTCACATCCATCAACCGCCTCACCAGCCTCCTCCGGCGCATCGTACTGCTGCTCCTGCCCCTTGCCTCCACCGCCGTGTCTTTTATTATGTGTTCCCCCCTGGCCTTCCGGAGCTGGGGTCTCGTTCTGGATGGAGCAAGGCTGGCTCTCACGATCCTCGTCCTGCTGCCTGCGTTCTGCATCCCTCTCTGCCACTTCCTCGCTGCGTCTCCTCCGTCATTCCTGGACGCTGCCACGCGTGCACATGCCGCCACCGTGCGAGGCCCCGGGGGGGGGGGCGGAGGCAGCAGCCACCATGGTAGACGACTGCGAGGGCCTCTACGACGCCCTGGGGACCAGCGTCAGCGCAGGTCTGGGATCAGATGACTGATGGTCGGAGTGCGATCGAGGCGCCAGGACTGCGACAGGACATACAGTCGGGCCCCTGAAAGAAGGAACGCTAAATGAGGAACGAAGCCCCTTCTTGGCCCTGTATGCGCCTCCGTGCCCCAGGAGGGCAAGAAGAACAGCACTGGAGGAACCCAAGGAGCATCGAGCCCCTTCGGAACCCAATCTGTTCCTTGTTTCAGCGTCTTGACTGTAGTCTCCGGCAAGACCACCATGCGCTGCATGCACTCAGCCGCCGTGCCGGCCGACGGCCTCACCAAAAGTAGTGTGCCGAGGCTCGTGGCACACGGATCGATGTCTGTTACGCGTGGCTACCGGCGGCTGGTACACTTAGGTCGGGCCTGTCCCCCTACAGGGGAATTCTGGGCGAACAATTCAAAATACTCCAAAAATATACTAAAAATTTCCAAAAATAGTTAAACCATCGTCCATGGACTATTTTTCTACTATCTTTGAATATTCCCCCTATAGAGGGACACGCCCGACCTAATGGTACACGGCAAAACCTTCACCTCACCTCAGAAAAGAAGCATCTGGATTCAGGGCGCCGAGACATCCTGGACGATGACGTGATCAGGGACGGCAAACCCATCATCTACGACGAAGACGGCGCTGGATTCCGTGTGCCGCGACCGGTCCCTGGAGGACTGCGAGTACTGGACGATGTGCGAGCTCGAGGAGAAACGCGACCTGCCCATCTGAAACTTGCGGTGCCCATAGCTTATAATTAATTTTACTTATTATTCGGTTGCTCCTCACGCTCACTCTCGGTCCTGCAGCCTTTCTGGTACGTGCTACGGCCGTTATGGCGATAATCGCATCTTCTCGAAATCCCGAGGGAGATTAAAGAGGGACGGGGCCAGAGGGACCCTATTTTCCAATGCAGAACACTTCCACATCGCGAATCAAAAAGTTGCAACTGCATTATTGATTCATTGTTCAGGCCACGGTTCATAGATTGCAAAATTGGCTTAAACCAAAAAACAAAATTGTCACGCCCGCAAGTGGTACGGAACAAATGAGTAAGATGCCGAACAGCAACTGTTGTCTAAACCGACAGCGGCCGCTGTTGGGCACCACCGCCATCGAGATCGGGAGCACCCTTCCTCGGTGGAGGCACACCGCCGATGTCATCGTGTTGGTGCCAACCTCTGGGCCTCCGAACAAAAAGGATTGGTCGATCCGCGTTCTTGCTCACCCCCGCCGCAGGCGCCCCGACCCTCCGACACCGAGGTCCTCCTGGGTGTCTGCCGCACTCGCCCCCTCCTCCTCCTCCACGCTCCATCCTCCTCCTCCTCCTCCCCTCCTCCTCCTCCTCCTCCCTCCTCCCATGGCTCACTCCCCCTCCTGCCCTCCTCCCACCTCCTCCTCCCATCCTCCACTCCCTCCCTCCTCCCTCCTCCCATCCTCCCTCCTCCCTCCTCCCTCCTCCTCCTCCCTCATCCCATCCCTCCTCCTCCCTCCTCCCATCCTCCCTCCTCCCTCCTCCCTCCTCCGCCCACCTCCTCCCCCTGCCGTCCTGACCTCCTCACTCCCTCCTCCTCCCTCCCTCCCTCCCTCCCTCCCACTCTTCCCTCCCTCCAACCCTCCCTCCCTCGATAACACTCAATAAAATAGACCTCCCTCCCTCCCTCCCTCCCACTCCTCCCTCCTCACTCCCCTCCCTCCCTCCCTCCCTCCCTCCCTCTCATTCCCTCCCTCCCATCCCTCCCTCCCTCACATCTACCCTCCCTTCTCCTCCTCCTCCTCCGCCTCCTCCTCCTCCTCCTCTCCTCCTCCTCCTCCGCCTCCTCCTCTCTCCACCCTCCTCCTCCTCCTCCCCCCTCCTCCTCCTCCATCCTCGCCTCCCACCCCCTCCTCCTGCTCCCACTGCTCCTCCCTCCTCCTCCTCCCTCCTCTCCTCCTCCTCCCCTCCTCCTCCTCCTAGCCTCCTCCTTCCTCCTCCTCCTCCTCCTCCGCACTCGCCCCCTGCTGCTGGCACCGCGTGCCCCCACCCGGCTCGCGACGGGCCGCCGGCGCCGCCTTGCAATCCGCCGAGATCTCCAGGGGCGCCTCGCCCGGCTCGGCCTCCCGCGGGTTGCCGTCGATGTCCGTGAGGGCGTGCTTCTGCGAGCGCAGGGGGTCCGAGGCAACGACTGGGAGTGGGACGCACAGGGACATACTAATACTATATGTCCTCCTTGGAGGCGCGCGTCCGACCCGAACATATAGTATACCCATCTTGTAGTAGATCGTTTCCCGAGCGGTGTGGTTAGAAAGCGCCCGCCACGACGCATATGCTATAAGATTTCTCGGTGCGCGCGTCGCCCTTAGGAGGACGACGCACATATAGAATAAATATGTTGGGGTGCCGCCCATGGGAGGTCTTCGTCGGAAGGACTGGGAGACTTCGCCCCCCTATTGGGAGACTAAGTACTAAGCCGGGGCAGGCCGCGTAAGAAGCGGGATGAAGCGGGAGTAAGCCAGATCGAGCGGGATCAAGCCGGAACCAGCCGGATTTCGGACCACGGCAAAGTCAGGATTGGACCTCCCAGGAACTGCATTCGAACAGGGCGGTGGACGTGACCAGGGCGTTACATCATTTTTCCCCGTCGGCGTTTTCTCACAGATTCGGGACCCAGAGATCGATCCGGCTCAAATACTGCAGCGGGAAAATCCAGGAACCTTCACATGTATCGATCTAGCTCTAGAAATGCCGCGGAAAAAACTGGATCCGGGGCTCCAGTCGTGATTTTTCACTATGGTTTTTCCTTCGCGCCATCGGATCCAAGGGGGAGGATGATTAAGCAAAAAACGACCCCTATTCCTTTGTGAGGGGACCTAAGCTAGGATGGGCAAAAAAACCAGGAATAGGGGGTCTTTTCTGCAGATGTATCAGACCTAGACACCCAAAATCATTACCCCTAATTCGAAGACGGAGACCTCAGTGAGGCCACGTCTGCATCGTGTTGTTAGGGTTAGGGATTCTTTTGTGCTCGATGAGAGGAGGGTGCCGTTTCAGCTGCGCACAGCGCCGCAGCGCTCCACCAGGCACCTCGAAGAAACCGCACTCCAGTGCAGACCACCGCTCGGCAAGAGAAGGGGATGAGACACCAGGTGGCACAACCTGCGTCGCACCGTTTTTTTGGGCGTCGCGCACAAGGAGGTAGAGGGAGGGGGGACGGCTCCTTGGCAGGAGGCTGCTTCTCAGAAGGCGCTGGCCCTGCATCTGGAGATCAAGCCCGCGCCTGGTACGAGGTAGGGGTGCTTCTGAGAAGCCCGTCCCCCTCCCCCCACCCCACCCTGCGCGTGGCTGAGTTTTTGTCAGCAGATGGCCGCAAGTGTCGCCTGTCGTCCACCTCCTGCTCGGCCTGTTCGATACTTACCCTGCCTTCTTCCCGCTTGTCCCAGCTGAAGGGGCCCTAGGACACACAACTAGATAGACACAAACCCGAGGATTCCCTTATTTTCATTTTCAGGACTTTCGTATTCCCCCCGCTTCCGATCTGTTCTCCAAGAAATGTCCTGGAAATGCCGATTCATTGTGTCTGTGTGTTTTTCCTCTCCTGGCTTATGTTGTTCCCATCCTACTCAAGGACCGCATCCCAGAAATAATTTCGAGCACCCCGAAACGTGTCAAAAGAGTGTCGGAACAGTGTCGAAACAGTGTCGGGCGAGTGTCTCCCCGGGCCCGACACGTGAAAACCCTTGAATTTTGGTGCTCTTTTGGGCGCTCGAAACTCTTCCTGGCGGTCAAGGCTAAAGTACGTTGGAGCATCATAACTCCTGGCCAGCTGCTATGTGCCGCCGGCCCCAGGAGACCGCTGAGAAGCAGCACGTCAAAGGGAGGCCGCCGGGCCCGCCGCTGCCGGCGAGGCCGGCCGTCGAGGACCACCGGGCTGCCGGAGATCTTGTCGCGGAGACCGCGTGATCTTACAGTCGAGGCGCATACAGGGCAGTTTTTAATACATTGGATGTTTAAACATATATGTTTTAATGCATGATTAGTGTATGATAAATTTATGCATGAGCTCATCGTTGTTTTTAAAACAAAATCCCTGCATCTGTTATACATGATCCGCAGGCGGAGCATGTATTAAAAACGGCACTGCACGAAGGATGCACGATGAGGGTGCACGGGTTAGGTCGGGCATGTCCCCCTACAGGCAGATTTTTGAGGACGAGCTAAGAGTAGCCAGCAAATAATCAAACATGATGTAAGAAAGCGCACATTCGTCCCCTGACTATTTTTCCGATGTTTGAATATTCCTCGTGTACGGGGACGTTCCCGACTTCATGCAAGGGCCTGGCAAGGCCCTTACAGTCGAGGCGCAGAAGAAGGATGCACGATGCCGTCGGGGCGTTGACCTGAGGAACCCTAAATAAGGAACGAGGCCCCCTTTCTCCACAAGATAGGCTTCGGTGTCCCATCGAAGACCTGAGGAGTATCGAAGGCAAGCTGTAAACAAACTAAGGAACACTGAGCCCCTCCCAAGCGAAAACGGTTCCTTCTTCGGCGCCCCGACTGGAAGGGTGTAAGGGCCACGGAGGGCCATGTCGACACCCTTCGAGAGGGGGCGCGGCCAGCGAAAGTGGTGGCCAAGGGAGGACGGGAAGAACGGGCAAGGCCGCCTCGGAAGGTTGCTCGTTCTAGCGATGCGCCCTGGCAGAACATAGCCTGCAGGCCGCCCTTGCGAGTCCCACTGCCAAAGAAGTAACGACAGAAACAGCACCCGCTCAGGAACACCATGAACAAGAGTTCCCCCAGACAATCAATGGGAAAACCACCGATGGATGCGCGCACGCAAGTGAACTCCAGGCCCACGGGGCAGCTTATGGAAGACCGTCTCGATGCAACTCGTTCTCGAAAGGTCAGCACACTCCTTTTCCAACGAACCCAACACCTTGCCAATACCTCGCCTCTGCGTTGCGGACTTGCCCTCTCGGGCCTCAAGTGGAGCTCCCTGTGAGGCACGATCCGAGAGAGCGGTGTGCCGAAATGGACTCGGGGCGCATACGGACTCTCCCTGTGGGGCACGATCCGTGTAAGAGATGTGCCCACATGGGCAGAGGGCGGCACGACAACTTGCTCACTGGGGCCACAGCTGGAGCTCCGCCATGTGGCACGACCTTAGTAGGCCCCAGAAACGGCAGGGCCATTTTATTACCGATTCCGAAAAAATGTCTCTTGAAAATGGAAACCGCAGAAACATGCCGACTGGAAACGGCAATAAAAGCAACTCCAAGATTGGAACCAAAACTGGAACTGGCAAAAAAACGGCGACGGAACCGGTAACAAAAAACGGCGTCGGAACCGGCACAAAAACGGCTAAACGGAACCGGTTAAAAACGGCCCTGTCGTTTCGAGGGCCCATTAAGGGCACGACCCGCATGAGGCCTGTGCTGCCAAGGGGGGAAACACGAAGGAGGGAGACGCGCGGCGCAGCGGAGAGAAACCGAGGACCCAACAACGAAGGACGTCTGGGGCAATCGCTGGTGGACTGTTCTGTTCGCGACGCCGGGAGGCGTTTGTCCTTCGCCCCAAGCTGCGGGCAGCGAGAGCGTGGAGCGACTGCGAAGAAAACGCTCCTATGGCCGGTTGGGAACCTGAAGAGATATCCGACACCGTGCCGCCGGGCACGGAAGTGGGCGTGTCCTCAGGTCCTTTGCCCAGGCCCTCTGCGCCTCAGTCCTCGGTTCTGAGAGCTCCCTGTCGCTCGGACGTCCCTTCACTGTGCCTTTTTCGGTGTCGTGCGCGGCTTCCTCGCAGGGTGATCCAGGATGCTCTTCAATAATCCCCGCCGGGAACAGGTGCACACGTCTGGGCGACACCAAGAGAAATCAATCCGGGCCCAGGCCCCAACTTTCCGAGGCCTCCCTGGGGCCTCTCGCGTGCCCACGGGGCCCCCCTCCGCATCTTATCGCGTGACGTCTTCGGGCCGAGGGCTCGGAGACGGTCCTAAGAGGGCCCCGGGGGGGCCCCCAAGACGGTCCAAGAGGGCTCCGGGTCGCCGAAGGATCGCTCCCAGACTTTCGAGGTGGCCTCCATGGCGGCCCAAGAGCCCTCCAAGACGCCCCAGGAGTCCTCCATGAGGGCCCCCAAGAGGCCCAAAGAGACCAAAATAATTGATGATTACCCTTAGGTTTTCGGCCGTCTCGCCTTTTCGGCTCCCCGACGCTCCAAGACGGCCGGAGAGGCCCCCAAGACCGCCCCAAGACAGCCCAAGAGACATCCAAGAGGGGACCAAGAAGGTCCAAGAGGGCCCCAAGACGGTCCCAAAAGGTGTCCAAGAGAGGGAACACGAACAGAAACTCCGAGCCTTCCGCCCCAAGAGGCCCCCAAAGGCCCCCAAAGGCCCCAAGAGGCGCGCAGGAGGGGTCAAGAGGCCCCAAGAGGCCCCCAAGAGGCCCCAAAGCGGCCCCCAAGAGGCGTCCAAACTGCCTCCAAGAGGCCCCCGAGAGGCCTCCCACGAGATCCCAACGAAGGTCCAATAGGCTTCATACCGACAGGGGCACGCTTGACCACTGTATCTGGCATTCAAGATGAGTCCCTGGGCCCTGGCCCTTCAACAATACATTGGAAGCCGATCCGACAACATGGACACAGGCCGAGGAGGCTGGTCCCGCGGGGCGCCCCCGGATGGCCCACGACGCCCCCAGCTGGCCCCCCGGCGGCCCCAGAGGACCCACGAAGGCCCTCATGAGGCCCTGGAGCCAACATGGGCCAAGGACGGCCCAATATGGCCCCCAAGGGTGGCCACAAGACAGCCCAACGCTTGCCATCGCTCGGACGTCCATTCCCTGTGCTGTTTTCGGTTTCGTGCGTGTTTTTCTTTGCTCGATGATCCAGGATGCTCCGCCAGGGTCCTCGCCGAGAAAAAAATCACACGTCCGAGCGATGCCAGGAACGGTCCCCAAAGACGGGCCCCAAGAGTCCTATTGGGGCCAACAGGGTCCCATTAGGACTCCCAATGCAAACAGATAGGAAATGTTCCAGAAGTTGCCATACGAGGTTCGCATTTACCATTCCCAGTCCCTGAGCCTCCAAGACTGTCCAAGGCCCCCCCAAGATCGCCTTGAAACTGCAACACACACCAGGGCTGAACCTAAACGGTGTTCTTCGTTTTCG